TACCTGAGGAAGAGGGTTCGGCTAAAGAGCAAGAAAAAGAAGAGTCAATAAAGATCTCAGAATATTTCTTTAGTGATATTTTTATGGAGGTGGATGATTCAGAATAACTGTGAAGATTATGAGATGCTTGGTTTCTAATAATACTAAATAGCAGCAACATAATATATTAATTAATCAAATGATTTATGTTTAATATATTATTAATATATTAAGAGGAAATTTGCTGAATGAGAGAAATATTTTCTTTTATTCTGAGCAGTCTGCCTTTTTTGAAACATTGATGAAAATGTATGTTAAATGTTAAGATGTACATGATCAGAAAAGCTGTGTTTTTGTTTGAATTATGTTAGATTTTTCTAAACATGCATATATAGAAAAAGATTTAGAAATGCAATGAGGAATATCAGAATGATCATACGCCACTTCAATACAATACTTATGTAAATAATATTTACTTCTTTTTGTGAAGTAAATCTTTATTGAAAGGAGAATATCTCTAAAATAGGCAAATTCTGGACATTTCAATGTAATAAGTACATTGTAGGTAACGAAATCTGAAGTCAACTTATTTTTATAATGAATATATGTGAATTGTTTCAAAAATAATGTTAAATGTCTTTAAATGTACAGACATAAATGTGAAAAAAATATTTAAGTTGAATGTATAGAAAGATAATTATTCTGTGTTAATTCTGTTCATCCTGAAGATACATAACTTTACTAAATTTCTAGTGCTAAAGTGCTAAATTTTATATGAAGCAATGCACTGCCATTTTAAAACCCAATTATAGCAGTGAAGAGGAAAAATTAAAATTAAAATCAAATGTATGAGAGAGTAAGAGTTGCCCCAACATCATAAAATATGGTTATTTTCCACTTTATGAAATTTCTTATTTTTTTGTTTTTTTCTTATTGTTCTGTGTTACTAGTTTAATAACTCAAGCTATAAACATATTCCATTTGTCACTGAATTTTTTTTTGCTCCTTAGTATGATTCAGACTGAAAAAAGGAAACCTATAAAATAACTTTTATATTAGCAATTGGATACTAAATTCTAGTTTTCTTTGGAAAGAATTATGCAATATCTATGAAAATAATTGTCTGCATCTACCATTGTTAATGTATACCATTTTGAATAATTAAGAAGCTACTTCTATTTTCTAGATTTAATCTGTGCAAATATTACTATAGGCAGATATTACATTATTACTGGATTTGATATGAAAGGTATTAGCATTTTTTAAAACGCAGACATAGACAATTGGTTGGATCCACACTTTTTAAAAAATTACAGTAGACCCATTTAATTAATATTTGTCATGACCAAAGATCAGTTTATTTCAGTGCCTCGTCTCTAAAGATATCCAAGTCAGTATTCTAGTTATTAGTAACAAACTCAGTACTCTATGAGATTTAACAATTCTATATTGATTTGACTGATCTGAATTTCTGTTTGCCATTTTAATTTTGGAGTGTTGCAAGGAAATTAAATAAAACAAGAATCTTACAGTACTTATTTATCAAATGTACATATAGATCAATGGATGCAAATAAACATTACAAATATTCAGTGGTAACATTTAACCCAAATAGTTCCACCATAGAGCAGCGTGTGTTCATATTAATATATGGAAGAATACATCCTCAAAAATCCACCACAGTCTGCTGTAATAATTATATTTCAATGAAAAAAGTGTAGCACAAAAACCCTATTAAAGAAACCAAGCTATAAGGTGCCTTACCCTTCCTTGCTAAGTGGAAAGGACAAGAAGATCCTATTAATTTTTATTATAAATTATAGTATGTTTTCTTGGCAATGTTTACAAAATTCTTTAAAATATACAGTACAGGTTCCCTTATAGCAAAATCAATATATTTACTGATGACAGAAAGACAAATAACCTTGGTTAATTGACAGAACATCTCATTTTAATTAATGTGCAAAAAGGGTTCCTTTTGTGAAAAGTTTGATACATATTTTCAGTGGTATGTAATGTTCATGTGAAAGCTTTCTGTTTCAAAGAAAGCAGGTATATTATGTATGTAAATTATGTAAATAAATTTTTATATGATTTATATGTTGAATTTTCTCTTTTAACAATTGATGGAATATACAAAGTTCAACAAAATTAATTTTACATTGTTATAGTATTCCATTCTTAAACATTTAAATTTACTTATCAGTGAAAAACAAATTGGAAATTAAATATTTAAACTATTATATATTGCATAGTTCAATTTACAGGTTCATTATTATATCTGAAACTAGTCCATCAATCTACTTTACCTCTTTGTAGAACTGGAACTGGCAATCTTATAAAAGTGTACTCATTTAAAATACTGACTCCTTAGGCTGTGTATCTATAAATTAACAAGAACTCTTTAAAAAAAGCAAATCTGATCTATTCATTCACATTTAAGTGATGGTTTGCTACTGCTCTATCAACACAGTTGAGTCACAGGGTCTTTTGAATTCAAAAGCAGTGACCACACAATATCAGTACTTGGGGCTTTATTCCGAAGTAGTAAACATAAGCTAGTTAACAAATATTCATGAGTACTGAAGAATATAACTAAGATAACAGTCAAACTATATGCAGAAATGAAAGAATATTCCAGAATATTGAAGAACACAAGAAGACAAAGAAAGAAAGACTTATCCCATTTGCCAGTGAGAGAACCCCAAAGAGATGATGGTGGGCATATCACTTCAAAACCAGCAAGCATACATGCACCACCATCCCATGGGTCAGCCTTTCATGTTTTTTGACTAGCCTATACTTAAGTTGCATCCCGTGCTTTAATAGCCTATACAAACTGTGAATCACCATAATTTCCACCTATTTCAGATGGTCTCATCTCAACGGAGTTTGCCGAAGACAAATTAATCTGCTACACTTAGAATGCTTTATCTACTTCTGCAAAACATCAAAGTTAAAAAGGATTTGTTTATATCATGTGGTGATATCATTTGAAAGTTAAGAAGTATCTGTTTCTCAAGATTTTTGGATTGATGATGAGAAATCATAGTTAATCATCCCAATTTACACAGATGTCCCACTAAGGACAAGACAAAACAAAGTACAGTTGATTCTCATTATTTGTGCTAGCCATGTTCTACAAAAATGCCCTGAATGCTGAATTAGTGAATACTGAACCACTGCTCCTAGGGGAAATGCAGGACACTTGTTTATAGTAGGAGAACAGAAACAAGAAGGCAGAGCATTGCATTGTGTGACCTTAGCTGGGAAATTGTGTGTTGGGTAATTCAAATTTTTGCTGTTCATCATGTGTCCACAAATGCCAGCAAAAGTGACACAAATATCAATTTTGGAGCTACAAATAAATGTTAGTAAGCAAATTCACACATATTGAATCCGTGAACAATGAGGATCAACTGTATAACACTTTAGTGACTAAAATGAATGCTTGCTTATTTCTGTATTACATACTCAACCATTACACAGGAATATAAAGTTTTATGTACCATACACTAAGGGAAAGTGGTACATACCACTATTCAGTTCCTCCTTGCCAATCTTCCAGTAAGATCACTAGCATTACATTTGATCCATACATTATCAAGTAAAAACAGTGCTTATTGAAAGTACCAGGTGATCACTGGGTATAGAAACTGATAGTTTCATTACCCCTTATTGTTACATTTTGCACAGACTCATTCATATGTCTGTAGAATAGGATCTTACTTTTTTCTTGAGAAAACTTTTCAAAGAAGACAATGGTAATTCCATAGCATTGCCAAAAAGTGGTATAGAGCAGGGGTTTCAAACTGCTGGCCTGCAGGCCGCTTGCATCATACAGAGGCTGCGCCTACCCCAGCTCCAGCAATGCAAAAAAAGTGATATGTCACAACACATCACATGATGTGGCGAGTTTGACACCCGTGGTATAGAACAAGACTTGTAGGCATTTTCTTTAAATGACTTGGGACTAAGTAAAATATTTACTGAAGTTTACTGAATTTTTTTACTGAAATCTCAGATTTTATTGCACCTGTATACTTTCATTTATATTTAGCTATCAACACAATTCAGCTGAAACAGTAATCTTATGTAGGATTAACAGAGTTTTCTTGTGGAGAAAGAAAAAAATGAGAGGGAGTGGAATAACCATAAATTCAGGATTTCAGGTAGTTCGATTACCACCTCATTCATTGTGGTAAGAGGTGATGATGGTTAATTTAGGTTACAGCTATTTGAAACGAGCAGAATAGTGTTGAATAAATTCAGAAAATCCTGCCATTTGATGGTCATCCTGATTTTACAGCCCAGATACAATAGTCCTAGTTTAGATAGTAGGTATCAACCAAACTGTAATTTACTTTCCCATGCTAGGGTTGCCAGGTGTCCACTATTTGAGTGGACAGTCCACTTTTTTCACATTATGTTCACTATTTTTTTTCACAAAATAGTGGACATTTTTTTTTATTCAAAAGCTTTATGATGAAATGGTACATAATCTAAAGCTGTACAGTCTACTTTTTTTACTACTTAACCCCCCCCCCCCCGCTTGTCCGCTATTTTTTGGAAACAGACCTGGCAACCCTATTCCCATCGTAGGTTTTCATAAACCAAATGCAGTAGCCAAAAGAGGTAAACCCCTTTCCATTCTGCCAGTGGACGTTTCTTGAACAGGCCGAGAGATTAATCCAGCAGCGCATAGTTCCCTCTTAACCGTAACTCTTTAAACCAGTGTTTCTCAACCTTGACAATTTTAAGGCATGTGGACTTCAACTCCCAGAATTCCACAGCCAGCAATGCTGGCTGTGGAATTCTGGGAGTTGAAGTCCACATGCCTTAAAATTGTCAAGGTTGAGAAACACTGCAAAGTTTAAACCTTGCCCCGCTGTCTCCAGATGAAAGGACCTCACTTCCGGGGTTCCCTCGGCTGTCCCTTTAATAAGTCTGAGGTGGAAAAAGGAAACAGGCGGCGCCGTCCGCTCGTCCGCGTTTCGCTGCCTCCTTCCATTGGCTCCGGCGTAGGAGGGTGCCGCATGCTTACTTCCAGCCCCGGGAAGTCGTCCCTTTGGTGCCCCGGGCGCCCCCAGCAGCGATGTTCCCGGGCCTAAAATGCCGTCTCTTCGCCTGTCCGCGGGCGGCTGCAGCGGCTCTTGGCCGTGCGTATCACGGGGACAAAGTGGCCACTGTGGGTTCTCAGCCCGACGTCGCCTCCCCTCTCTATCAGGTAGGCCAAGGAAGAGGAGCGCGGTGAAGATGTCTAGCAGGTAGTTGCTTGAAGATCATCCATCCACTGCAGGCTTTGGGTGGGCTTCCGGCCTTTTTGTTTTGCTTTTTGGTAAGATCTCTGCTGTCATTTGGGGCCGTTGCAGAATAGTCATAAACCCACCGAAGGACGGGTTTCTCGATAAAAGTGAAATCTGAATAAAAGTTGGGCAGCTCTTCTTTGGCCAATAGTGTACCCTTTAAAAAGGCAGTGGCAATTGTAAAGATCCTCGACGTTGTTGATTTAGTCTTAAAGCACTTGCCTCCCCCCCCCCCCAATTGCTTTGTCAATTCCATCAGTCTTGCACTGGAATTGAAGGTCAACTTCGCAGTGTTTCTCAACCTTGACAATTTTAAGGCATGTGGACTTCAACTCCCAGAATTCCACAGCCAGCGTTGCTGGCTGTGGAATTCTGGGAGTTGAAGTCCACATGCCTTAAAATTGTCAAGGTTGAGAAACACTGTGTTAGGGATACTGCAGTGACACCCTGCCTTAGGCAGGAGGCTGGACCTGACTTCCTCTGAATTCCTTTCCTTTCTGTGATTTATGTTGACACCAAAATACACTTAGAAACATTCTCTTGAAGGATTAGAGCAGTTGTATTTCTCAGTCATTTGTTCTTCTTATTTAAGGCTCTATTGTCTTCAGAAATATCTCCAGTCCTCAACCTAGGTTAAGTTTTTCCCCCCTAGTCTCATTTTCTCTTTAGTGTTACCATAGGCAATCAATTGACAATACATTAAACTAAGCCAAAAAGGAAACTTTGGCAGTTGTTGCTAGATGACGGTGATGCTGCTTTTGCTTTTGGGAAAAAAAAGGACTGGTTCATAATTCAAGTTTGACTCCAGTAAGCAATCCACTTTATCTGGAGCAAAATAGATTATTTTGCCTCCAAAAGTGTTTACTTTGCTGTGGGTCCCAACTTCTCAACAAGCTGTTCCGTGTTGCCTAAATTGACCCAGTTCCAACCCAAATTCTGCTACCTTATATAAGTGGGCTTAAAAACTCAGGTTTTAACTCAGAATTTTTTGGTGAGTGAGTATGTCTTCAAGTCTGTTTTTTTTTACTCCCAGTGACTGCCTGCACAAGTCCCTGCAGGGTTTTTTTTTGGCAAGATTTTTCAGAAATGATTTGCCATTGCCTACTTCCTAGGGCTGATAGAAAGGGCTGACTCAAATTCACTCAGCTGACATCAATGTCTGAGGAAGGTCTAGAACAGAGGTAGGCAACCTTGGCTCTTTTATGACTCATGGACTTCAACTCCCAGAATTCTGGGAGTTGAAGTCCACGACTCATAAAAGAGCCAGGTTTGCCTACCCCTGCTCTAGAACTTAGCCTTCTGATTTCTAGTTGGATGCCTGAACTGCCATAGCAAACTGACTTTCCAGGTGCTCCTTCCTCCTATTTTCCCCACAGCAACAACTCTGTGAGGTGAGTTGGGCTGAGTGAGTGTGACTGGCCCAAGGTCACCTAGCTGGGTTCATGCCTAACGTGGGACTAGAACTCACAGTCTTCTGGTTTGCTTATAGTTAGTCTGCCTGTCTTGGGATCAGTCTAAAATTTATTTAGTTTTAGAATTTATTCAGATGGGTCCCACTTGTGAGCATGTATGCTTAGGTTTGTGTGCCTTGTTCCCATGATAAAACCTGCAGGCTAATGACTGAAGATCATATCTAGCTTTCTGAAGAGCACATGGTTGCCAAAGACAGGAGAGATGCATAGAGAGCTTTGTGGCTGTGGCAATTAGATTGTCTGGAAGGCTGTGTTAGAGAATGGGAAGGCTGTGAAAATAGTTGGTGATTTGAATTCTCTAGGATCTGATTGTAGGTAAGGTCTGGATATATAGTCTTTAAAATGGTTAGGAAGAAGATTTGGGGAAGAGATCAAATGGAATAATTTGTCTAACAACCAATTCTCATGACTCCATCTCTACATCATTCAGGAAAAAAGATGATTTTGTTTCTCACCTGTTGCAAATTTACAGCAGTTCAGAACAATGTGCCAACATGAAAATTCTCTGGTCAGAGCAACTGTAACACAAAGTATGGTGCAAGCTTGAAGAAGGGGCAGGGAAAAAATATGATGTTTGTCTTATGTGCCCTTTGTTGTTTGTCCTCCTCTGCAAATTTAAAAGAGACGATGAAAGATAAACCTCTGAGATAGAATAGATATAAATGTAATTTGGTGGGATAGTAAGTGTATGTTTAATTACCGAAATCCTAAGACGTATTGAATACACAGAACTTGCATCAGACTTCTAGCATATGTTCTTTGTGTGATTAATAATTAAACTGTTAACGCTCTGTTTCTTTAAAATTGTCAAGTTGAAATAGAAGCAGTTATGTTTGCTGTGACCATGTGACATTAAGAAACATTTAAGAATCCAATTATTTCATATGATTCATCTAAATTTAAAGATCTAGTTTATATAGACTGCCCATTCATGTTTAGCCTTTGCACAAATGAGCTTGAGTTTAGTTATTCAAATTTTCTCAATGTTTGGTTTTGAGTTGATCATTGTTCAGTGTTGCGTCCAAATTGGCATGCCAGTTTGCTTCAGACTATGATTTCAGTTCTGAATTGTAATTTGCTAAGTTGAATAGTAGCCTGTTGTGTTTTGCTGATTCAGATGTAAATTAGGGAGTTGAACACATGAAGGAAGGGACCAGAATTTTTGTAACTGAAGCTTGCTTGTACAACAACAACAACAACAACAACAACAACAACAACAACAATAATAATAATAATAATAATAATAATAATAATAATAATAATAATAATAATAATAATAATAATAAAGTTGGAAGGGACCTTGGAGGTCATTTAATCCAACCCCCTGCTCAGGCAGGAAGCCCTATACCATTTCAGACAAATAGCTCTCCAGTCTCTTCTAAAAACTTCAAGTGTTGGAGCATTCACCGCTTCTGGAGGCAGGTTGTTCCACTGATTAATTATTCTAACTGTCAGGAAATTCCTCCTTAGTTCTAGGTTGCTTCTCTCTTTGGTTAGTTTCCATCCGTTGCTTCTTGTCCTGCAGTATGCCAAGTGTGGCCTTACCAAGGCATTGTAAAGTGGTATTAACACTTCACATGATCTTGATTCTATCCCTCTGTTAATGCAGCCTAGCACTGTGCTGGCTTTTTTGGCAGCTGCAGTACACTGCTGGTTCATATTTAGGACTCCAAGATCCCTCTCACAGTTGCTACTATTGAGCAAGGTACCACCTATACTATACCTGTGCATTTGGTTTTTCTTGCCTAAATTTAGAACCTTACTTTTTGCACCATTTAATTTCATTTTGTTAGATAACACCCAATGTTCAAGTCTGTCAAGTTTGACATCAGGACTTGGAACAAGTAACCTCTGAGCATTTTATCTTTCCAGGATATTCTGCATAATTGAACAAGCAATTGCTGAACTCAGATACCTCAAAAAGTTTTAGGCTACTTCTGAAGGTCTTAACAAATACACAAAAGTTTTTTAAAACATTACAATTTTGTTAAAAGGCTTGAATTTTCATTTGTGGGCATTAAGTTTTCCTGGAGGCAAACTTAATTTACTTGGAAGTAAATTAGGATTCCCAGCCTATGAAAATGTATAAAATGAAAAAGAATATATTTATTATTTTATATCCAGTTGTAATTATTTAATAATTATGTTTAAGGAATATGTTTTGAAAATGTAGCTTATAAAGCTTAAATAATATATATAAGACAGGAGAAAAATACTTTTAATTAAATATTTTTTTAACTAACTCACCTTGGATAATGTGTACATTTCCTTACATATGATTATTTCCCAACAGGAAAATTATGAGCAAATGAAAGCTTTAGTAACAGAGCTGAAAAGACAATCTGAAAAAATTAGATTAGGTACGTATGAATGCATTTTTTTTCTTGTTAGAGTATCTCATATTAGAGTCTGATTGGTTGGTTCTCAAAAATAACAGGGTTTAAGACAATCTTTCCCAGCTTGTTATATTGAATTACAACTCCCATATTTACCAATCATAGCCCAGTCCAACACATCTTTAGAGTAGCATGGAAAGCCTTATAATACTAATACTGTAATTTAATGATTTAATTTGTATTAAAGGTTCGTTCCTATCTCTGGGCCATTAGAATTGAATGAACATTTAGGAGAGAGAGAGGGAGAGAGAGAGGGACGGAGGGAGGGAGAGAGAGAGAGAGTTAAAGTGAGTGGAACATTTAGAAGAGAGAGAGAGTTAAAGTGAGTGGCAAGGTTGAGTTGAGGAAACTCTAATGGTAGAGCTAGTATGGATAGGTTAGCAGAGTTCAGGAAGATCTTACTAAAAGAAAGAGAAATGAGAAGTATATATAAAAAGATTATCACAGAAAGACAGAGTTCAGGAGCTGCAACAATCCTCTAACCCAGTGTTTCTCAACCTTGACAATTTTAAGGCATGTGGACTTCAACTCCCAGAATTCCACAGCCAGCAATGCTGGCTGTGGAATTCTGGGAGTTGAAGTCCACATGCCTTAAAATTGTCAAGGTTGAGAAACACTGCAAGTTCTAGCCAATAGTTATGTTCTATAGCCACTGAGTATTCTTGCCTGTTGATCCCATTGTAGAATTTCCTCCTCCATTTTTGGTCTTTCTTTCAATTTTGTGGTTTCTAGGTGTATAAACACATTTAATATTCCAATCTATGATGTCTTCATTGAGTGCTATCATATATTTCAATTTCTGCTACAGAGACATCTAAAATTAGATTCTGAACAAGAAGGTGATCTGTCCATAAATATGCTGGCTATTTCTATATTTTGCCCATTTTAGATTTTTTTCTAAATTGCCACAAAGTAACAGGAATAACACAAATATAAGAACAAGGAAAACTTTTTTTTTTTTTACTTAAAATCTTCTAGGTCAAAGCCACACTGTAATGTCAGTAGGGCAGAGGCTGTATGTGGGGGAGCAGGTTCACCTATGCTGGGGCTGCTATAGAAGATGTCTTTGCATAGCTATATAGGTTTACGTACTTAATTCTTTTTCTCTTCAACTTCTTTGCCAGAGTTTCTATTGTTCAAGTCTCACAAGTCTCACAGCTGAGATATTTGGTGTTCTTTGCTGTGTTTTGCCAGAACTCTTCCTGTGTGAGAGGAGTGGTATTGATTGCATTTTCACAAGCATAGGAAGCATTCCATTAGTATTACAAAAGGTGAAATTAAGCATTAATGAAATAATCAGAGACTAATATAACATGCATATGGTTTATGAATGTCTACTTGTTAAATGTTTATATACATGGCAAACATTTAAATGATCAAAACACCTTGCCTGATAGGTGGTGGAGAGAAGTCACGGAACCTGCACACATCAAGAGGCAAATTGTTACCTAGAGAGAGAGTTGACAGACTTATAGATCCTGGGTAGGTATTTGCTGTTTCATTATAACCATTTTAACATAAGATGCATAAATTTCCAGTTTTACTATTAGATAATTTCAAATTACCAAAGATGCTTATAATTTTGGAATCAGTTAAAAAATACCATTTAGTTGTACATTTTTAATAATGTGTCTAGTGGTCACTGTGAATATTCCCTGATCAGAAGAGAAAGGTGGGTTAAAATTCTAAAATAAGTCAATGTTCTTTTAGAGTTAGGCTATTATACTGCAAGCTTAAACAGAACATACCTGCCAATATTAATCCGGTAAGGATGCTTCGTATGACTAACTTACAAAATGTTTTTCTCTTTCTTCTAGATCACCATTCCTGGAGTTCTCCCAGTTTGCAGGTTATCAGCTGTATGGTAATGAAGAAGTACCAGCAGGAGGCATTATTACAGGCATTGGGCGAGTATCAGGGTGAGAACTACTACTGCTATATTGTTTGGGTTTTTTGTTGGTTTCATTTCTGCTTTTTACTATGGTATTTTAATTTCCCCTGCTTTCTAGTTTGAGCCATTGATATTCAGAAGTATTATATCACCATTGAATTTTGGCAGTTCTGCTGAGCAGTTTGTATTGTTGAAAAATTATCAAGCCTTTATTTGAGCTTCGTGGTTACATAGGCCAGTCCCACTTTGTCCTTGCTGCCTATGGCTGTTAAAAAGTGTAATTCAGCAAGATATCTGGAAAGCCAGAAAACTTCATCCCTACATTAAGCCATCACTCCATATCAAACAAGAAGGAATGATTAAAAAAAGGCTGGTTTTATTAATATACCTGAAGAAGTTGTAATTTAATATATAGATGATTGTGCCCCATCTGATATTTTCATAACCTACAAGTTCTAGTAGCCCAGCTAGGGTTGAACCAGGCAACCAGTAGTAATCCAGTAATAGCAAGAATGCCACAAAATCTCTGTCATGGCTGTATAGTAATGTGTCTGCAGTGACAGATAATTTTGTTGCTGTTAGAACAAGTGTTAAAATAATTGTTTTATTGTACATCGCCCAGAGTCCCTCTCTGTGGGAGATGGGTGGCTCAAAAATGTGAAAAATAATTAATAAATAAATAACATGGGTAGGATTATAGTCTTTAGAAGGGTAGCGATAGTTGTCATTCAGCGTTTTAGTTTTACAATATTCTTAACCTTTTTCTATGTCAGGAATTGTCAGTTGCTCTGCTGGATGGAAATGCTTCTCGCTTATTTCATATGAGTTATAATAGAGCCGTTTCAGCAGTGACTGATATCCTTTACATGTAAATGTTATAGTAGTATATTAGGGATGGTTTGTGAAGATTCATCTAAGGAAATGAAGAATTCTCTGTTTGCTATATAGTAGATGTGGAAAGCAGTATGGTGAGGATGGTGAGTTGTAATATATAATAATAGAATCTCTTATTGAATATGTCTGGAACTGCCAATATAAGCTCACATTTTAAAGAAAGTTTCATTATTTTTAATCGTGCAATTAATATTGGATGTTCTCAACTAACTAATAAAAACTGAATTTCAGAGTGGAGTGTTTGATTATTGCCAATGATGCAACTGTCAAAGGTGGAACCTATTATCCAATTACTATAAAGAAGCATTTGCGTGCTCAAGAAATTGCAATGCAAAATCATCTCCCTTGTGTATACTTAGGTAAGCATTAAGTTTTGAGGCAAGTTTTATTTTGTAAGAGACTACTGTTATGACACATAGTGTTTACTGTGCCTAGTTGTAAAGCCATAATATTTTCTAATTCAGTGGCAGAATATAATATATGTAATTAACAGCTTTATCTTTGAGTTGGCAAAAACATGATTTGTAACTGAGTGGAAACCAACAGAGCAAATCGGTTTGAACTGATTTTGAAAATCTGGAGTTGCAAGGATAATGATTTGGTATAATGTTTGACTGGTCTGTTTTTTTACTTATAATGGAAAACTGTAATCAGCCAAGAGGCTGATGTGTTAAAGGTGGCTGGAATGATTTTTAAAGTTAAGTGCCCAGGATTTTTTTAAAGAAACAGAACAATAATAATGAATAAATAATATAACAATAGCTATAAATTATAGAATGTACGTAGAACATAGATCAATGTTTCTCAACCTTGGCAACTTTAAGATGTATGAGCTTCATATGCTGGCTGGGGAATTCTGGGAATTGAAATTCACATGTTTTAAGTTGCCAAGGTTGAGAAACTGTGACATAGATTGTTGGATAAGCACCCTTAAACATTGACCATATTTCCTGGAGCTGAGTTAAAATCAATACTTCTACTTTGAAAATTTAAACAATGTCACTGAGCAATAAACAAGGCTTACTGTCACTATTTAGCATAATGCCTAAAATATTTATCGTAACTTCCAAAATATAACGAGTAGAATAAAGATGCAGAAATTGGATTTGGTATATACTATGTTATATATTACGAAACAGTACAGTACTACACCTCCACTGTTAATAATATCTTTTAGCTATGTTTCAATATTTTGTTTCATTGTTTGGTAAAAATAGCAGTCACATCTAATGGGCAGATGAAAAGAATGGCCTTAAACAATCCATGATTGTACTAAAATGCCTAGCTTTTCCTTCTCAGGCTTTGGGTTCTTCTCTTTTTGTCTTTGTAAGATTTGGATGGAGGTAGCCTAGATAACAGAGTCTGGATTCATTCAAGTAACTGCTCACCAACAACTCCTGCTTGCATTGTAGCAATGACAGTGGCAGATTATGAATGTTGGGCAGAGAAATAAATCAAGTCTGCTTTTTAATCTCCTCCTCAAGGCCTATCTACTTTATTGCTTCCTCTAAGGACTCTTTGCTATCCTCCAAGGAAGCAATAATTTTAAATAAAGTTTAACTTAAATGCTAATTATTAACTCTCAATTTTTATTTGATCTTAGTTGATTCAGGGGGTGCCAACTTGCCTCGCCAGGCAGAAGTGTTTCCTGATCGTGATCACTTTGGTAGGATTTTTTATAATCAAGCAGTCATGTCCTCCCAAAGAATTCCACAGGTAATTTTATTTAAGAACAAAAGCAAAAAAGTATTGATGTCAAATATGAAGTTTATGAATATTATTGGAAGGCATGTGGATCAATTGGAATTGAGAACTGTGTAAATGGGTGCAAATAGTCATCTGTGTCGTGAGAGTAAGAAGTTATGACTTAATGACTTCAGAGCAAACTATTTTTCAAGAATTCTTGATTCTTTGAACTTCCTCCTTAAATTGATACAGATGGTCTTCATTTAGCAACCACTGTTCGGACCAGCAATTTGTCATTAAGTGAAGTAATCACTAAATGAAATTGCAGCTGTGTTTAAGATTTTATTTCAGCTCTCCTTTGCATTACAGACCTGCAAAAGCCATAAATGTTAAGATTGGTCACAAAGTTAACTTATAACTGCAAATGGTCAGTAAATGAAGCAGTTACTGAACAAAGACTGTATACAACATATATCATTTTGGAATGTCTCCCAGTTTATTTTGTGCACTAGTGCCCTTTTCTAGGTTTGTCAAAAAAGAATTTAACAAGTTGAATAAACTGAACTGTAGACAATTTGTTAGGGAAAACCAAGTTATAACAGGTACAAAATTAGTTTACAACATAGATGTTTTAGTAATTGATGGTGGTGTAGTTTGTGATGGTATGTAAACAAAATCTCATCTTCCGTAAAGAAATGGAAGAAGTATGAGTTTCTTTCAGATTTTTTTTCATCATCAATTTTTATATGGCCCCTCACCTTTTTTTTACTCACATAGAGATATTTTTATAACTTTCTCATGTTGCATGAATACCAATATAATTTTTCAGAAACAGCTATTTTGGCAATAGGTGATTCTATGCCAAGCAGCAAGGACACGACGCCAGGAACTAACCTGTGGCTATTTTGATATTTTTCTCTCCATCACTTGTGTCTCTCCATCACTTTTAACACGTGGGATAGTAATGCATGGGAAATTTGGCATCTTTCTTTTTTTTAGCAAAGTAACATAGTAATCTGTTGATTCAACTTCAATCAAAAGGAGCATTTGTCTCTGCTAACTGATTAATTGCCGGGCTTTATCTTGCTCCCCTTGTTCAAGATGTCCTGTAAAAACATTGAAAGAACAGCATATAGGATTTATACAATTATCCCCTTCTATGTTTTAAAATGAGCTTTATGATGCTTTATGTTGTGATGCAGAACTGTTCTAAGGAAAAACAAAGATTTAAGGTGTCATAAGCCTCCTGTCACTTGTCCTTACCGGAACGTGAGTTGGCATAATTATGCCAATTATTCAGTATATCTGGCTTCTTTGCAAACTGGCAAGAGAATGTTTGAGACTGGAAAGTGGTAGACATGTTATCCTACCATAAGATGGCAAATGCATTTCTAGCTCAGTGCCCACTATTTGCACATATTCTTTACTGAAAGCATATTTGATAGTAATTAAGAGTCCTTGGAATCCCTCTCTCCATTTTATTTTAGTTCATTTTTCCTAAAAAAGGAGAATACTATTATTTATAATGCAAGATAATTTTTATAGATGTCTGTTTGTGCTTGTTGTATGTCCACCTATTCCAGCAAAATCTGGGTGATGTAAGCCTGGTTGGTAAGCTTATTTGTCTGTGGCTCGATAAACTGCTTATTATTTGTTACTAACATCATATAGGCCAGTTCAATTAATGATGAAGCCTGATTTTCTCACTGTTTTACAGAGTGTGCATGATGTGGTATAAGGTTATCATTTCCATTTATTTTTGTTTTTCCTCAATCTCTTTCCTTATTTTGCATGCAATACCAGTATAATGGAAGATTCCATCATTATCCATCACAATTGACAATCTAAGCGCCAATGATCCTCACCTGGGAATGCACTTTAAACATCTGGGAATGCACTTTAAAAAAGAATTAATATTTTGGTTTTATAAATTATTTATTTATTAGATTGATGTGTTGCCCATCTTGTCCAGAGGCAACTCTGGGTGGCTTATAAACCTGCTTTCAGAAAAAATCAGGACTCTCAGTCTTTCTGTGTGTGTGTGTGTGTGTGTGTGTGTGTATGTGTGAAAATATTAAGATCATGGCCATAACTATCTAATAGAATCCTGCCCCTTTTCTATGTTCACATGTCAAAAGGAGCATGGCTTCAATTACGTGTTTGCAGCCCCCATCTCGGCTTTTTTTTATTGTCCCACAAATATCCTTGGATAAAATATCATCTCATAATTGCAGTGTTAAGATTTCTGTTTTTTACTTTTTATTGAATCTACTGAAATGTGGATACCATGTCAATTTACTGCACTGCACAACTATCCTACACAGTATAGTAGCACTTTCTGCTGTTAATAAAGAAGAATGAACTAGCTGTGGGTGACTTAAACTGGTATTTATTTAGTAGAAGTGACGGGAAGGAATAGTCAGGGGGATTTAGAATTCTGCCTCAAATTGTAGAATTAAAGGTACTGTTGGGATAGTGCATAAGCTGAGAATTTTTGTTTATAATAAATGACTTGGACTGAGATTCAGTATATAGTCTATTATCAGAACTGAATTTTCAATATACCTGGCTAAATTAGAGCAAAAAAAATGAATTGGGTTCAATTTTGGAAAAAATATTCGTAACATGGACTACATGGCTATGTGAATAGTGCTGAGAGTGTTATATACGTAACAGAAAAAGATATAATTCTAGTCCTAAATAGGACATGAAATAGCAAGCTTCTCTGTGTGAAAAGTAAACAGATTTATTAACTTTTTAAAATATGAAGGAATAAAGAGGGAGTTAAAATGGTGTCTGCAACTGCGTACTTGAAGTCTGTCCCTTTTTTAACTTGCATCATAGCACATAAAAAGGGGGATCTGGAAAAGATCAGGTTAGGAAAAGTTAAACTAATGGAAAAAACAGCCACAGCTAATGAAAGAACACAGATCTGAGTGTAGATTAGTAATTTAAATTCTACTAGGAAAACAGTAGATTTTTCTGCCAAATATTGCAGGAAGAGATAATCTGTATCTCTTGAATCTGTATTTTGTCAGTTTAATAGAAATGGTGAGGCACAGGCTTAGGTCATAGTTGCCTGACACAAAAATTAGATCACAAAAGCCTGACAGTCACTTTGATGTTAAAACACAAGTGAAGGAAACCTCCCCCCCCCCACAAAGTTACATCTCTTATAAAGGTCAGAAGAATAGACATGCTCTTTCCATTTACGTAGGAAAGAAAAAAATAGAGAAAGTTCAGGTAGAAAAATGTGTCACTGGACGTTTTAACTAGGCATTGTTTTGAAATAATGACTAATTTACAGACAGTAGCAAACAAATGACTGAGTTGATTACTGAGTTCAGGAAGAATGACATTTTTAAAAGAGAGATCAGCAAAAAGCAAAAAGACAAGAGATAAGCAAGCAATCTCAGCTCCCTTACTGAAACTGTCCCTCTGGTAGGCAGGAGGTGAATTTTCTTTCTTTATTTGTTGGTTCATTTATATCCCACCTTTATTATTTTTACAAAGAAGGCTACGAACATATCCAACACACTTTCCTCTTCCTATTTTCTCCATTGTGTAAGGAGAGTTGGGCTGAGAGGGAGTGACTGGCTCAATGTCACCTAGCTGGCTTTCATGGCTAAGGTGGGACTTGAACTCACCGTCTCTTGCTTTCTAACCTTGGGTTAGTTTGAAACAGAGGCATCTTTATTGGGACAACCCACGGTATACCTGTGAAAAACTGTGGAGGTGGAACTGCACTGGGCAGCAAATTTGTGGTCTGTGCTCTGAATCATTGTCGTTCAACCTGGCAACTTTAAGATGTGTGGCTTTCAACTCCCAAAATTCCTTTCCACAAGTTGGAAAATTCTGGGAGTTGAAATCCACACATCTTAAAAGTTACCAGGTTTAAAAATACTGGTCTAAATGATCTCTTTCAGCTCTATGATTTTGTGACACAAAAGTATGAAATATTAACCCACTAATTTCTTGAATTAAGTATGAAATCATTCAGTCAGAGATTGAAGATGTGTTTTTGTTACATACTTTGTCATCTGTTTTTCTCTTTATTGATGTGTTAAATTCTGTTACATAGCAGATACACAATAAGAATGGAAAGCTCATTAAGAAGAAAAGTGATTAGGATCAGCACATCCAAAAGAATGAGTAATTCAAGTATATAGGTAGAAGGTATTGATAACATGGTTAAAGATACACAAAAAGAACAAAAAAATCTGATCAAAAAAGGAATGACCAAAGTAGAAGAATTCACAAGGTAAAGAGAGGTAGAATAAGAAATATAAGAGATAGAATAAGAAATATAAAACAAACAATTTAGATTTCAACCATGACTGGATTCTAAAGTAGCTTAAAGGTGAAGGTTTTCCCTATCCAGTTGTACGTGACTCTAGGGGGCAGTGCTCATCTCAATTTCTTAGCCGAGGGAGCCAGAGTTATCCAAAAATGTTTCTGCGGTCATGTGGCCAGCAGAGTATACAACAAAACATGGAACACTGTTACCTTAATGCATTTGAATTGCTGGGTGGGCAGCTGGGTCCCAAACCGGGTCTGTCAGCTCCAGCTGACAAGCTCATCTTCTTAACTGCTGAGCCATCACACCCCCTTTTAAAGTAGCTTAGAAGAAGTCAAATTCATTGCAACAATATGAAGTAAGATGAGTGGCTGCTATGTAGAGACTGACAGAAACATACTTCACACTCCACCTTGCTGCTTTCCTGAAGTTAAAGATGATTTTCTAAAGAAACTTGGTGCCTAAAGGAATGTTGAGAAGTTAATTATGAACTTTTAAAAACAATATTGGAATGGGACCTGAGATGCTTACAGGCATTTTAGCTGCTGATGGTTGCTGATTCTTGGTTCTGAAGCAGAGACTCCACAGTCTCTGCTACCCCACTTATTGAAGCTACCCCACTTGTACAATGGAGTTACACCATGATAACTGTTGGCTTCCAGAGTAGTCAATAATTTTGGTTTGTATACCCAAGGGAAGAATTAGGTTTGTTATGCATTAGATTCTTAGACTGAAAACACAAGGCGATACTTGCATCTGATTTCTTATAAACCATCTTTGTGTTTTTCCCTCCCCAGATTGCAATAGTTATGGGCTCATGCACAGCTGGAGGGGCTTATGTCCCAGCAATGGCTGATGAAAGTATAATCGTTGGCAAGCAAGGAACAATATTTTTGGGTGGACCTCCATTGGTGAGTGAAGTATTTTCAAAGGATTAGCAAAGGCTTCCTTTATAAAAACAGATAAGTAGTATATAACTGTATTGTAGGTTTCAATGTAACAGCTAGGTGTTGCAAAAATAAACATTTTGTTAAATACCAAAATATTTTATATATTGGTTGCTTAGCATGTGATGGCATCTGGCTGATTCAGTAAAACTCACCAGGTAAAACTCACCAAGGTTAGAACAAGTTACTACTTAGGCATCCAAGAAATGCCAAGACTGAAAACTAGGTTGAGAGATTTAAAAAAATGCTAGAAGGAGACAGTGACAAACCACTTCCCAATTGCTTTGTGAAAATTTATGGAGGTGCCCATAAAGTCACTAGGAATTAAACATAATTTGAAGGCATCATCATTTTTACTTCTATTTTCTAGCTTCTTCAACAGCAGGGCTGGGCTGATTTTAAAAAATCCACATTTTTTGTCAGCTATTATGGATTCAGATGTCTTCCGCATTTCTTGTAAATGGAGAAAAAATCCTGATGGATTTTATAATAGGAAAAAATGATATAAATATTTTGTAGTATCCAAGGAATCATAGACAAGCTGCATTTTAACTAAACATAAGCCTGACATTTTAAATGGCCTGAATGAAATACTGCTTTAATTTTATTTATAGAGTGTCATTTTTACTTAAAGACATATAAAATAACAAATAGGGGGAAAAATTTGTGTGAGGCCTCTCAGAGCTGACAACACTAGCCCATATAAATCCCAGATACGTAATTATTTTTGTCCTTCTCATTTGTTTGATCAATTGATATTTTTTGCCATTTTGCAATGATTTGCTAACTTTTTCAGAAATACAATCGAGTACTTTCTAATAGTTAGTTATCTTATTTTAAAGATAAATGTTATTTCTAGATTTTGGGGAAGAAAATTCTATTGAAATATATTTGAATGACATTTTTGGCCACAACATATTGGCAAGGGAGGTAAAACATGTACTTTGCATTGCTTGTCTTGAAAAAATAGTTGCTTGATGTGGAAAGGAATAGTTTTCTGGGGCAAAGTAATCAGCAAAAGCAGACATAGAAAATCAATAACAATTCTTGGATAATGAAGCTCTACAATTTAGCACTTAATTAATCTGTTATTTAATCTCCTGTTTAATTTTTAAGCATTAATTATGTTGGTTTAGAAAAATGGGAAAGAACCAGAGTTACTGATTACTTCTCAGCATTTTTTTCAGAATCAAGGGCTTTTATGTGGGGATATTAATTTGAATAATAATGGAAAATAAGGGCAAGCAGCTAATAACAGTAATTGCATTTATATCTTCTTACAGATAGACAGAAAGAAGAAAATAGGTGTAGCTCCGGGTTGAATAGATAGATAGAAGAAAATAGGTGTAGCTCCGGGTTGAACTATTGAGTCCTTGGTGCTCTCTAAGCTTGGTTATTTGCTTACAGACATTTCATTACCTGACTAGGTAATATCATCAATGCTAAAAGGGAGTTTGGTTTATTCCCTGTTTATATACAGTAACTTGCCCCGGTGTTGGTGGGGGTGGGGTTTTCTTCTTGATAATTCCTTGATTCAGATATTGTTTATCTGGGTGTTGGCTTCTGGAGGTGATGTATTCTGGTCTTTTTCTTTCCTTCTTAGCTTTAAAAAAAAGTACGTGTCCAACAGAACAGCACAAGTACATTTGGAAGTGCTCAGCTTTAGTTTTCATTTTTAGGTAAAAGCAGCAACTGGGGAACAGGTATCAGCAGAGGATCTTGGAGGTGCTGATCTTCACTGCAGGTAAAATAAACACTTCTTTCCACCAATAGTTTGGACTGTAATAGCTTTTCATTATGCTAGCTGTTATCCTATTTTAAATGGTGGTGGAATCTTCTGCTACCGCTCTCCTGGTGAAATACGGATAGGTTATGACCCCTTGTTCATTGATGTTTAATGTGGAACAAGGGGGATTTACAACCAGTCCCCAGAGTTCTGGCTATTGCAGTTTTCCTGAGATCATGTGTTCACAATCAATTTCTGACATACTAAATTTTTGTATTTTAAATCTGCAGACAATCTGGCGTAACTGATCACTATGCTTTGGATGATAATCATGCACTCCACTTGGCTAGAAAAGTGGTGAGAAGTTTGAATTACAAGAAGAAAATTGATGTGAGTGTATATTTTTCTTCATTAGGGATGTATCAGAACATATAGAAAGATGATATGCTGTATTATGTGTTTACTGTGGTAGTTCAGAGAAAAGTATGAATTTAAAGCTGCTTCACTTCTGGCATAATTCAGCTGATTTCTTAAGGGTAGTTAAAAGTGCATTGCAGACCCCTGTGCACTTTCCTCTGCTCTTCTTCCTTCCACCCTTTGAATGATCCAATTCTGTTTTCAACTGTACCAATAACACAGTGCCATTATATTAGGGATCTGCTGTACTTTGAGAGATATTTCAAATATTTACTGTGAGATGGGTGGCATATAAATTTAATAAATTAATAAATAAATCCCCTAAAAGGTATTTTTTTCAGGGCTTGAATGATATCCATGTAATTCCAAGAAAATATGGGTTTGAGTTAAGGAGGTGCCCACACCCAGCTCCCAAAATCATACTGTATGCTGGCAGAGACTGCTTAACTCACAAGATGTATTTTTTTATTATGTACAGTTATTGCGGGCTACGATCTGCCCTAGGAGGTAAACCACAGGAAACATGACGAGATGCACTAATACATTTATCCAACTATCCCATTGGCTACATTTCTTTGCCTTGTCTCCCAAGGTCATTCCCACATAACCATTACATCAAGAGCCCCATTTTTACCCTATAATTTGGGTCTGATTAAATCATAAAGTTGATTTAAATATATGAATATTGAAGGTGTCTTGGAGAGAACAGTAATCTAAAATGTAGAGTAAATTTAAATTTCATATTGAATATTGGCAATTTTTTAGTCCGGGCTTGTAGAAAAGGAGAACTTGTAGTTATGTCTGAATTCTCTTATAATTCTTGCCTTCTTTTTTTGGTACTTCCAATTATTTCAGGTAACAGTAGAACCCTCAGAAGAACCTTTGTTTCCTTCAGATGAATTGTACGGCATAGTTGGAGAGCAGCTTAAAAGAAATTTTGATGTCAAAGAGGTAAACATTTCTAAAAATGATTTTAAAAGATTGTGCCCAATCAGATCCTTGCAAATATGGTTGCATACAGGATATCCATGGGACTGCTTAATGTTCTCGATATAGGAGGCTAATCTCAAGAAAATCATATGAATTATGGAAATTGCTTCATTTGAGAATGTTAGAGCCCAACATAACACATCATGGTACAAAATGATTGTTTTAAATATAGTTTATGAAACAAAGCCAGATTCACACTTGCAAATCAGCAAATTAATCATGCCTTTTGGCAATTCTTACATTTTACTTCTTTTTAAATGGTTCTGTTGTCTTAAACATTTATGTCTTGATCTGAAAAAAACTCGGCTGAAGCATAAAATCAAACAAGTGATTAGCCAGGAAACAAACATGCATCCTAGTTTATATATCACTTAAACTACCATCAGTAATCCAAGAAACCTTAGTTTCAATCTGTGTTTACTGAATCAAAAATAATCCAATTTCCAAATTATGGAATTTAGACTAGTATAAAATGGAACTCTACTTACGACTGTGTCAGTAGCTAGATGCTGCATCTGACTTTTCTCATTATTGTATTTCTAGCTTAGTGTTTGTATTTAGGAATAACGATTAATAAGATTGAGAACAGAAATACTGCCATATGTGTTCCATCTATCTTTAACAGGCCTCTGCTGCTCCTGCTCTTTTTCAAGAGGCCAAGTTCACAACTCTTTACTATCAATTCTTGTCAAATCTGTTGACACAATTAATCAAGTCTTGAAGTGGCAGGTAATACGATTAGATACACATTTCAGCTTCAATTTTCTAAAGACCAAATTAAACAAACTGCTGCTCATGGTCACAGAGCAAACTTGACAGAGTGGTGCAAGGTCTTTAGGTGCGCAAACCTAATATTTAGTCATTGATTGCAAGTGTAGGCTAGGAGTATTGCTGTAACTGGGAGTAGTAGCAACTTCAGAATATTAATGTAGTCTTTGCTTGCTTCCAAGGACATACGTTTTGAGTAATGCTTTTAGGTTACACTGAGTTTTAATTTAAGGGAGATATACTGTAGTTTTTTAGAACAATCAAAAGCATTTTGCTCAAAATGATGAGAAGTAAATATGTTGGCAGATCAACAACATTTGTTTTACTGCAGTTATCATTTTTTAGAAGATAATTTAGCAGTCACTTTAATATTCTAGTTCTTTAGAAGCAATTAGATTTGTAATGAAAAATAAAACATTGATCTTATTTTTTAAAAACATTGCTAAGAACGACAGGACTAGGCTACCATTATTGTTTTTATAATATTTTAATTTCCTACTACAAACGATTTTCAGTTGTACAAGAGACAAGTCACCTGAATTTTTACAACCATGTTTAATTACAAACATACATGAATTAAATTTATATAATTTCTATATAGTTTTGTTAAATCTTTACAGTTGAAATTGAAATGTGAAAACCATTCTAAGCCAGCAATATTAAACATAGGACAGATAAAAGAAGAGGACACTACACGGACAATAATACAGCAGTTATATCAAGACCTTGCAACCAGTTTCACTAATTTTATAAGCAATATCCCAAAAACAAGTCCTTAGTTATCTCATGTTGGGCTTTACATGCTGTGCATAATGCTTAAGTGATATATTTTACCTTTTTTATCAGGAAAAATAAGTCATACTGAACTCATTCATTCCTTAATCACAATCAGAAGTTTACATAGAAGGAGTCATTTCAGACAACAGATTAAGACTACATGTGGCTTGATAGCAAACGAGCATTACATACATCCAAACTCCTTACTGTCCTTGACCTGTCCTCCAATGTTAGAATTACAACTAATTCCACCTTAATTTGTTAGCCTGACATGTGACTCACATGATTCAAAGTAGGATCACTTATTTGCACAATAGATTAAACAACTTATGAATGGAGTCTTCTGTAATTTTGTAGATCCAGGCACTTGGGAGAGAACTTGGCCATGTAATCTGAGCCATATGCAATAACTTAATTGTTTTTTAGTTGAGCAGGTCATAAAAATTAACATTTCTTACAAACTGTTGTAAGATAATTGTATTTTGTCTTAATGTTATAATGACACAAATAAAACGTTTCTGATATGAGTAATTATGAGCAAATATGTACTTTGGGAAAGGGGCTTGTTTCCTTTCCATTATATACGTCATCATGCAGACCATTCTACTTGAGCTAGTTAGACTAGACTTGAAATATACATTGTTTGGAAAATGGATACAGTTAAAGATGCTATGAAAATCATCTCATTTTACATATTACATTGATATTTATTACAATAAGATGAGTTGCTAATAATAAATGTATCTCTCTTTTCTCTTAACTTAAGGTCATTGCTAGAATTGTTGACGGAAGCAAATTTGATGAATTTAAAGCTTTATATGGGGATACATTAGTTACAGGTATTATTTTTAAATGAAAAATGAAACTATTCTACAACTTCATGCTTTGATTTAATTTATCTTTCCAATTTTTAAAAAAACTTGTATTGATTCCATAGAAAACATATTAATTTATTAATTCATGTAGTAATGGATTTATCACTTCAATACAAGAACTCAAGGCCAGGGATCCACAATCCCCTGTCTGTGGACTGGCACTGGGCCGCAGCATGACAGAAACCGGGCCTTGCAAACAAGCAAAGCCCCATCTGCGGGATGCAAATAGCACGCGAAACTACGCCGCCTTCCGTCCACGGAAAAATCTCTCTTCATGGAACTGGTCCCTGGTGCCCAAAAGGTTGGGGGCTGGTGCTCTAGGCAATGTATTATCTCTAAGTAGTAAAAATGTTATGGTAAATTACATATTTAATTAACATTTAAATGTAAATGTTAAATTTACATTTAAATGTTAGTTAAATATGTAATTTGCTATGATACACATTAACAGTAAATGGTTTGGTGCCAGGAATTTCACACTGAACAATCCTCAAAGGCTTTTTGGAACAATCAAATTTTTACAAGCTTTCTGAGAATCATCTCCTTCCAAAGAGGGGATGGCCCGTCGTAACTCCTTCCTTTGAATTTTGGGATATGGCCTTTAGCAAGCTCCAGAATTATCCAATTTGGATGGACAGAATCTACCTGGGAAAAGTAGTCTCTCAGAGATTGAGACCCCAAGCTTGACAACTAGCAAGCAAAGTCTTGAATTGCCTTTGGAAACACACTAGTAACCAGTGTAACTCTCAAAGAGGTATAATGCACTGCTATCGGCTGGCAGGCCACTGCATTTTCAACCAACTGCAGTTTCTGGTTTATCATCAAGGACAGCTGTAAACGCTCCAGTCATCCATTTGCAAGATGGCCAGATAGGAGTAGCTGACCTCATGCATCCTGTTCCAAGTAATGACATAATTGAAGCTGGGCAGGGCCCTTCTTGGCACAGTTTTCATCTGCTTTTCTAGGAAGGGCTGTGATTTCAGAAGACCCCTAAAGTCTGCTTTCTCTTCAGGGAGCACAACTCACTTGAGAGTAAAATCAACAGGTTTCTGAATTAACATCAATATCCTCCAGTAGTAAATTTGCTAGTTCTTAAATTGTCACATTTTTAGTTTGTTCCAGCAAAAGCAATTGCTAGGGCTATTGCTATGATAAATATTATTATGACTGCAAAATGATTTTTTTAATGTTTGTGCTACACATTTTTTTTCATTAAAGACTGGGAACTCTTAAGTTTAAAGCCTTTCACAGACAGTTGATAAAATCATTTCTCATGATTTTTTTTCTCTTTTCTTTCAGGATTCGCTCGGCTGTTTGGTTACCCAGTTGGAATAATTGGCAACAATGGTGTTCTTTTTTCAGAATCGGCAAAGAAGGCAAGTGTAAACATCTGTTATTGAAGCTTCTCCCTATTTTTGTAGCCAAGAATCAAAATGCACACCAGAGACAACAATCCATAGTGGCTGATTAATATTAGATAAGAGCATCTGTGGAGGCTTTTCTCCAGGAATCTGCACTGTCTTAAGTGTGATTGAGTTTATTGCTGGGAGTGGGACCTTCTTAGATCTGGTAGCTGTCTCTAGAGACAGTTGTACTGAAAACACATGCAAAAGATGTGCAAAGTATATATCCATACTTTTAGCATTTAATTGGTCCAAAAGTTGTGAATATTATAATGCTGCTATTTTGTCTATTGATTACGTTGCTGCCAGTTTATTGTGTTGTAATTTAGCTTGTGATTAAAGGTAGTCCTTGCTTATAACCACTTGTTCAGCATCAGTCAAAATTACCATGGTGCTGAAAAATAACCTTAAAGCCAATTTACAACCATTCTCTTTTTGCAGTGTTCCTCAGTCACATGATAGCCATTATAGTCAGTATGCATTGTTCTATGTCTGACCCGTGGGTTTTTTTTTCTCCCCCCTTTCCCTTGTAGAACAGAGAGATTGGAGAGAAAGAAATTTCAAGAGAATAAGATGTTTGTTCTTCCACGCATTGAAAACATGCTGGTAGCCCAGGGTTGGTAGCCAGAGGCATGCTATGCAAATAGTTTACTGTACTCTTTTGAAATCTTTTTCTCTCCAGTCTCTCTGTTCTGCAATGACAAATGAAAGAAGAAAAAAGAAAACAATTACTGAAGGAAATTTCTCCTTTGTCTGACCCTTTTCAATTACTAGTGCAGTCGTATTGCTTCAATATGTAGAAGAGCAAAGAGCTTTCTCTCTTGAAATCTCCTTCTTTCCACATTGTAGGGGGGGTGGGAAGAAAAAGGCAACCAATTTTTGTAGACAAGTTTTCTTTTGCCTGACTCTGTTATTAGTGCTATGGTTTTATGGAGTACTTTAGCCCAGAGCAGAGAAGTTTGGGATGGTGACTTGAAAAGCACTTGGAATGGATGGGTGGTACAAAGCTGGAATGTGCTTTTGGAACCTGACCGTTGTTGCCCACTAGGATGCCTGTGGTGCTGTTCTCTAAACATTGACCCCCTTTTTCAGATACAGAGATTGACACTTTGATTACCCAACCATTTACTCCATCCCTCTGTTCAGTGGAAGGAGAGCTGAGGTTTGACAGTGTATGCTAGATGGCTTTGACAGCAGTTTCTCTCTCCCCCTCTCCTTCTCTCCCCCTCCCTCTCTCTCCCTGCCCCTCTCTCTCTTATACACACACACACTGCTGCTGAATGCCAGGGACAGGTGTGATCTGCAGGAAATAATGTATAAGCTGTGCATGTGATGTTTAGGGAAGTGATTGTGGTATATCTGATAAGTGGATGATTGGGGTATCTAGGATTTGTGAGTGGGTAAATGGATGCCTTGGCCTAAAAGAAAGGGGTGTGAGGTGAAAGGGCCTGAGGGGAGCAGAAATTGCTGGCAGAAATGCTGAAACTATGATATTGGCAGAGCCTGGGAGCAAACTGGAATCTGCCCTCAAGGCCAGATTATCAGACGTTGGTGTTGAATGACAGCTTGCTCTGCATTAAATCCTGCTTGTGTTACCAAAATCTGGTTTGGTCTTCAGGGGTTAGTTCCCCTCTTGCAAATGTGTCCACTGGGTTTTATGTTTAGCACCATCTGAGACTGGAGGGGATGGGAGGGGTGAGGTGGTAGCTGTCACCTGTCTATGTGTTCTGAAGATAAATGGGTATTTATCTGTCTGGGTTGAAGTTGGATTTGCTGCTGCTGTACCCTCCTCCCTGCCCAGCACCATCCCTGTCTAAGCTGCTGGATTCTATCACTTGTACTAGACACTTGGTGACATCATGTCTGGGGTGTCTCGGGAGTTTGTGGCAACCATGGACCCATCCCAAGTCATTGTGGGCCTGACATTATTAGAGCTCTTTTTCGAGATCTGTTTCTTGAGTCAGGGCAGACAAACTGCTTTGGAGGGCATTGTCATCAGTCCATTACCATGGTTGATCACTCTCTGATTTTTGGCTTCCTGGCGTCACTCTACTTTGCAGTGGTTGGTAGATTGCCCATCCCGGGTATCTGAAGGACCTGGATGGAAATCTCACTGACAACTCCTTATTTGTGGGTATCACAGGATTTGACTCTCTTTCTTCTTGCTTAACTTCTGTATTAACTGAGTGTAGTCATCTGTTGGTTTTGAATCAGGTATCATCAATATGTTAATGGACCATTAATAATGTACATCTTGACCCTAGACCAACCAAGTGATGCTATTGAAGTCTTAGTCCTGTGTCTGGAGGCTGTGCAGGGCTGAATTGGATACAACAGACTCAATCCTGTTCAAATTCAAGTGGTTATATTTGTTGGCCCTTTTAGTTTCGAAGATATTCCATTTTTTGTTTTTGATAGGGTTATACTTTCCCATGGAATTCTGATAATGAGTGTTTTTTGGTGTTTAGATTTATATCTGCTGTTACTAAATAACACCAGTGTAGTTGAAGAAGATGAAGATGATTCAATTTTTTAAAGATAGGATATTATAACCTAATGACTGAATAATTAAGCTCTTTCTGTTTCTCATATTCTCTCCCCATCCAATCCAATTTGCAATATATGGGATTCATTGTAGAGCTTACTTTTGAGAATAGTAATGTAGATTATGTAAATTGTGTGCTTCGAACTTCTACAGATGCTGAGCAGTTGTAGCTTGTTATTAAGCTTTTCTCAAGATACCTGCTGCAGTACTTTTTCAGTACTTTTTATAACAATGTTACTATTTCTAGGATTAAGTACAGTAGCAAACTGTTACCTCAGTTACTATCACCTGCTATTTTATCACATCATGTGTTAAAACCTGCTACAATCTATTTTAGCATTTATTAGGGAATGAGTAATTGCTCCATGGATCGGCTTTATAAGAAAGTAAGTCAATGTTACATAGAAAAAGTTTTGTTTTAAACATGATTTCATAGTTTGAGGGATAAAGCCATTTACAGGAGTATTTCACTTGGGAAAATAGGTAACATAGATTCAAATTCAAGATCATGGCTTCTATTCATGTATTTATACATATATACTGTAGTTACTTGTTGGCAAGTATAGAGAGTACTGTACATTTCAAAAATGCAATGCTTTGTTCCAATTTTTTTAAAAAAATAAGCTTTAGAAGAACTGCTTTATGATCATACAATGATATTAGCAGCAGATAGTATTGTATTATTTAACAATTATTTCTCAGTAGGTCAACTTCATTTTTTTCTTATCTTTACAGTGCACACATTTTATTCAGCTTTGTTGTCAGAGAAATATTCCCATTATATTTTTACAAAACATCACAGGTAATAAGTGATTATCATAGTCTGTGAAGCTGAATTTCAGGACAATAAATATTTGAGCAAATAATTATATCTTTACTTTTAAATAAGTGTGTAATAGTAACAAATTAATTCTTGCTCGTTATTTCTAACCACCTTATTTGAGTTTTGGGAATATTATCAGGTGTTTACTAATTGAATTATTGTTGCTGTATTTAGTTATTATTTATTTATAAAGTATTTTTCAAACTAAGTTATACTCTGGTTGAATTTCTTTCGGGTGGCCAACAATTTACTTGGATAATTATGATTTAGCAATAATAGAGTAATTCCCTTAACTAATAATTAAATAATTATGAAACAGGTTGTATTAGTTAAGATGTAGGTCTAGAATGTGGGAGACTGTGAATTCTAGTCCTGCCTTAGGCATGAAGTTAGTTGTTGACTTTAGGCCAGTCATTCTCTCTCAACCAAACCCAGCTCACAGGACTGTTTTAGTGGGAAAAATAAGAGGAGGTAGGAATGTTATGTATGTTTGCTTTCTGGAGTTACTTATAAGGCAATAAATGAAGGATAAAAGTCTAGCAAATAAATAATATCAGCTAAAAGCCTACAAAGCATCTAACATGTTAGCTGAATCAATTAAAATAATAAATAAAATGAAGTTTTACACTCTCATTTGCTTTGTTTTTCTAATGGTTTTGCAAATATCCTTGTTAATGGTCTTAACTCTTTCTCCAATTAGGCTTCATGGTTGGTAAGGATTATGAAGCTGGTGGTATAGCAAAGGATGGAGCCAAGATGGTTACTGCTGTAGCATGTGCCAGTGTCCCTAAAATAACAGTTATTATTGGAGGCTCCTACGGTGCTGGAAATTATGGGATGTGTGGAAGAGCATATAGGTAAGTTTGCACTTCAGCCATAGTATTATAGATGTTGGGAATGTGTCTGCAACATGTAAAAATGTTGTTTTTAATGTAGAAGAAAGTATTGATTTAAAATACCTATGTGAATGAATTGTTTAATTCAAGGATGGCACTGGACTGCATATGGCTGCATGTGCTATAGATCTCACTGAATAAATCTTTCGGTAGTTCCTATTTAATGCGATACACATAGTATTGTCCCATATTATGGAACAAAAGATAAAATACTTTTTGTTTACTATATGGGCTGAAAAGACCATTGATAGTTTTGAAGGATAGTGAGGGATCTAGGAAGGTTTTACTAGTATTCATATTATGCAGATAACATTCTTTCCCTCTCTGTCCCCTCAATCATAGAAAGTGAAGGAATGAATTTGTAAAACACTGGAGAGATTTTTATTCTATATTTGTATTTTTGTATTGCATTTTTCAGTCCAAGATTTCTTTTTATGTGGCCGAACGCTCGGATCTCTGTGATGGGAGGAGAACAAGCTGCAACTGTTTTAGCTACAGTAGCCAGGGACCAAAAAGCAAGGGAAGGGAAACAGGTACTGTCCACTGTTTGTAATATTTTGAAATACTTTAGGAGGGAATGGCCATAATGCTGTATTTGGTGCCATCACTTCCCTCTATTTTCTTGCAATAAAGTTACTTTCTCTGATTGTATTCATTCAGTATGATCTCAGCTGAAGTTGTACTGGAGTGGGATTCATACTTACAATAGCTTAGAATAGTACTTCAACTATAGTTTGCATTTTCAGAACTTACAGATTAGTATATACAATAGTAAAATTAATGATACAAAGGAGTCTAAACTATTTAATTAGTGACCTACTGTCAAATTGTTGTACTTGGGTTTTATAAGCCTAGCACAGTGGTGGCGAACCTATAGCACGCGTGCCAGAGGAAGCACTCATAGCCCTCTCCGTGGGCACATGCGCCATGCCCTGGAGATGGTAACCGTCCCTCTTGAACCAGCTACCCACTAACTCACCGAGGTCCAACATGGCTGGATGCATCCCAGGATGGCTGGTTTCCCTCCCCCCACTGTCCCATCCCTCCTGGCCTGTAGCGGGCACGACCCACTACATCGCCTCCTCAGCTGTTGGCCGGCTATCCAGCTCAGAGGCGGCTTGTCTGAACTGCTGGTGGCGGGCTGCGGAGCCCCAGAGTGTGCCGGTTGAGGGGCCGGCAGGCTGTGGCTGCTGACAGACACTGTCAGCCCCCATATGCTGTCAGCCCCCATGGTGTCAGGCAGCAGCCTCCCTGGCCCCTGCCTCGCCTTGCCCTGCGACAATGGCACCCCCGCCCTGCCTCGCCTTGCCTCATCTCACCCTGCAGGACAAGCCTCCTGCCCACCGCCCCACCTGCCAGAGACCCCCTGGATCTCCCCCAACCCTGCCTGGCCCCCCACAGGCATCCCTCCCCATGAGCAACATCAAGGTGACCACGCCTACCTTGGCCACACCAACCCAGTGGGCCATGACCACTACAGCCATGCCCGCCTGGCACTTGGCGATACATTAGTGGGTTTTGGGTTGCAGTTTGGGCACTCGGTCTCTAAAAGGTTTGCCACCACTGGCCTAGCACAATAAACAAACTGTTGAAATTAATGTTACTCTCATGTGGAACCTAACGAAAGTAAATTGTTGATATCTCATTTTTATAACCAAGAGGAAAACAGTTTTCCAAAACATTGCATTGTAAAAATCTTTATCATTTACATAGTTTAAGAAACTATTTTCTTAAATTTTGATACTTATTTCTGTAAAAGAAATGCCATTAACATTAGTGCAGTTTGGAGCACATTTAAAGGGAAATCCCACTGAATTAAACAGAAGTCCAAATGCACCCAGGATTATTGATTAGACATTTAATGTATATTATCTCTTAGAACAGGATGTCGAGTGCTAGCGCAGAAAATTGCCAGAGTTTCTATTCCTTTTAATGATCTTTTGTAGTTTTCTGAAGAGGAAGAAAAAGCTCTGAAAAAGCCAATAATTCAGAGATTTGACGAAGAAGGAAACCCTTATTATTCTAGTGCACGGTACGTATAGATGAGGGTGACATCTTGTCTTTATATGTGTTACGGCTTAAAGATAATTTTTAAGGGTGGCTGGAAAAGGAAGCCAGACAGCCAGCTGACTAGCCTAAGCCTTCTGAACGTTGGAAAAGCTGAAGAGATTTTATTTATCTTGTCCATTAGTGAAACTTTGGTTAAGATTGATCTTGTAACTAAATGGAACGGCATGTGGGAAAAAACGAAGACAGTGTGCAAAGAGATGCTCCCAAGGCACAGTCAGCTAAGAGACAGCATGACAGAACAAGAAGCTCAGAAGAGACCCTCCCTTGTTTCTTGGGTGGGTAAGGAGAAGGGGGAGACTTGTGCTTTCAGACTTGGAAGATTCTGTCAATATAGCATTACAGTAAAGAAGAATTAGCTCATCTGATTGCTCAGCAGACTCAGGCGGTTACTAGGAGCTTGTGGACTAGCACTTGCCACTCCTGGCTGTGGTGAAAATGCTCTGAATCAGAGAGCATGGGGGTTTCTAAGCATGTTCCTTTGTCAGCTGTTACGTGCCCATGCTCATTGCTTTTTCGATCTCTCTGTTTCTCTTTCTAAAGATAATATCTCTCCAAATTGTCCTAGGAGTACATGGAATGTTGTCAATAGAAGCTTACTAAATATTTGTTCTGAACATTTTCTGAATATGGCTTTCCTTTCACACACATGAACACCCCCCTATGAACCATAGTTATATTAGGAGGATATATCCTGCTAATCTGGCATACGTGTTATAGCAGGGGTGTCAAACTCACAACATCACGTGACGTGTCGTGATGTATTGCGACTTTTGTTCCATTGCCGGCAATGGAGTGGGTGTGGTTTCGGCATGACGCATCCAGCCCGCAGGCTGGCAGGTTGACACCCCTGTGATAGAAACTGGGAAGCCATGAGTTCTAGTCCCACCTTAGGCCTGAAGCCAGCTAGGTGACCCCCGTCATGCTTTCTCAGCCCTAGGAAGAAAGCAGTGGCAAACCACTTCCAAAAAACTTCTAAAAGACTTGTCCATACTGTTGTCAGGAGTCAAGAATGATGGACAGGTACCCCTCCTCCCAATGTGCAAAAATACGAAAATAAGTCATTGTTCAAGTAGTTTTATATGTATGTACAGCATGCCTGTAGCTTTATAATTTAAATTATAAAATGTAGCTTTTTAGCAATAGAAGAGCTGCTTTTATGCTTTTTATTTTGGGGAAAAAAATTCCACATAAATTATATTTCACTTTATATACGTGACATTTGCTCTGGAGCTGCATTTCCTCATCATTTCACCAGGCTAGAAACTTTCATATGCAAAGGTCTTAATTATCAGGCATCATTAGACATCTTTTTAATGAGCTAGATTAATCTTCTTAGAGAATTCTAAAAGGAGTTTAATTAGTTTACCTTGTTACAAATGTCATGAGCCACTTTCTCCTGAGTTTTTGTTGCTTTTCTTTGCCGAAGTTGTGCTATGAATGTTTTACAAGGAGAGATATGATTCATATTCTCATCATGGGACTTAATAGGTTGTTTAATAATTAATGCTCTGTCCCACTACTGAAGATGGGCTTTTACTAAACAAAGAGAAAGCTAATGTGACGTGGAGAAAGCAATCTTTATTCTACAATGAAAAGTCTTTCACGCGATCAATAAAGTCTCCGCTTCCCTTAACAAAACTGTGTTTTGCAGGTTTAAAGATTGGAAAATTCTCCCTCAGCATGAGACAGTATTTACAGTATATTTATGTTCCATCTTTCCATACAAGCAAGCCTGTCAGGGTAGTTAAATAATACAATAAAAAAACAACAAGAACAGTAAATTAAAAATGATGCAGTTTAAAATAATTGAAATACCTGTACAACCATAAAAATTGAAATCATTCCTACAATAGTTCAGAAGGCCCTGGTTAAAAAGCTTTATCAATATGATTTTAAAGGAGGAGAGAAGGGGAAGAAATGTAATTCCCAAGAGAATGTGTTCTTTAGTTGGCTCACACAAGGGAAGACCTTCTCTACGTGACTAATGGACTAATGTTATCCTGTTCTCTGCACAATCCAGACAAAATCAATCCAGCCTCTTCAAAATTCAAACTACCTTCAAACTTCAAACTTTCCAGACAAAGATATCACTTGCTCATCCATAAACAAAAAATAGCATACTCTCAAGCTATTTATTTGATTTTTAGAGGTTTTATAATTCAATCAAAAGTCCAAGAATTATCAGCAGCCTTTGACTTTAAAGTACTATTTGCTTGACGTACTAAATGTCAAACAATGTACTAATAAAGAAACATTCACTCTTTTTTCCTACCTTCAATTCAACTACATTTATTCCAATTAAAGCAGGGGTCCCCAACCCCCGGTCCGTGGACCAATACCGGGCCATGGCATGCCAGCAGCCAGTCTGCACAAACAAGGAAAGCCCCATTCGCAGGATGCAGGCAGCACAGAAAACCACACCTCCTCCTGTCCACAGAAAAACCTCTCTCCACATAACCAGTCCCTGGTGCCCAAAAGGTTGGGGACCTCTGAATCAAAGTACCCGATGTGCCTAAAACACAGGCAGTCAATGTTCATTTTTTTCTGTAACATGTGAATCAGTTATTAACAGTGATGCGTTTCCAGTATATGTCACTGCAAAAGACTAAAAGGTAAATGCAGAAGAACTAGACTGAAGTAATAAGAAAAGGGGGAGAGGATTACATAACTTTTTAATTTTCATGACATGTAATTCTATCAGACAATTCATACTGGAAGTGCAATGACAAAGTTGAAACAGAGCTTACATTTAGCAAGTTTTAAGTCAGCTATGAATGAATTTGTACACCACGAAGCTCAGCTGAAAAGTGAACTGCATGTTTGCTATAAAATCAGAATGTGGTTATGATACTGTTTTAAAAATCCAGTTTTCCTCTAATTATTTGTTTTTGTGACATATGTTTCAGATTGTGGGATGATGGAATCATTGATCCAGCTGATACAAGATTTGTTTTGGGCCTTAGCCTCAGTGCTGCTTTCAATGCACCCACCAAGAAGACAGACTTTGGCATATTCAGAATGTGATATGAAAGGTTTACCAGTTGTACTTTAAATAAAAAAATCAAATGGCCTAACGTAATCAAGTAACAAAATAAAGATTTGTACAGTAATGCAGTTGGGTTTAATTTTCATGGATCTTAAAAATAATTATTTTATTAAACCAGGCTCTAACCCAGTTAAATAGATACAGTGTCAGTATTTGTAATTCATTCGATCTCTGAAAATCAGATCCATCAATTCACATTAAATGTATTATATCAATAGAACAAAAAACAAAAAACACCCTGCCCCACCTTTAATTTTATGTCTTTTGAAGGAGGAGAGGCTGTTTTTGTTTTTTTGTTCTAAGCAGAGAAAGGAAGGAATGAAAATAAAATACAACGGACATTAAATGTTGTTTAAACAATTTCAGTTTCTACTGCATAAATCACATTATTGAGGGTTTTTAAACAGTTCAATGGCTAAGAGTGCCTACTTTTCAACAGAGCAGCTTTTGGTGTCTGGTTTAGAAATACCTTTTCAAGAAGACATAACAATATGGAGGGATAACAGTCCCGGCAAGACAGATCCAAATAGATGAATTCACAATTTTAGGAACATAATTTAACAATACATCATTGAATCTAACTTGCTAATCAAAGTCTTAATAATATGTAGGAATTCCTTCAAGATTGTATTTGTTTTTGTTAAATTTGTTAATAAAACCAAGCTGTTTAGCATCTAAATATATCTTTACCTAATAGATTTAAAATTATGAGTTTTCAGTATCATAAATTTAGTGGGTGTAATCTGAGAACATGTTTTAATATATTGCTATTTGAAAGGTTATATTCTTTCTGTAACCTAATAAACATTAACAATAATTTATGTTAATCCTATCTTCAGCCTTTTAAAAAAAAAGATTTTTGAAAAATTAATCCAGAAAGATATTTTTTCTTGAGAACAAAATTCAAACTTTAATTGATTTCCTAATGACATCCGGATGTTTACTTGCTTTAAATTCACATTGCACAACACATTTTATCTTTGTTCTATTAATTGCAAGTTTAATTTAAATAATATAAATTGTTTAGGATTCAGTAATTCATATATCCTTAATATAATTAGCCTATTTTTAAGTATTTTCATAAATTTCTTTTAATTAAGATTAATTGTATTAACAGCTGGTACCGAACACTATGATGTGTTGCTCTCCAATCATCAATTCTTTCATTTTCTTACCATTGACCTGCAAATACATATTGATTAGTAAAGGTGCAAATGGGTTCCAGCAAAGATTGTATTTTGTTTTGAAATAGTCTTCCTGTAGTGGGAAGTGCTTGATCCTTGCCTTTCTGAATATCATGGCATTTTGCAGGTCACTGCATAGTCAACTTTTGTTACAGGACTGTGAAATTCAGGTGTAATACATGAAAAAAAAATCCATCTAGTTGTTGAGTATTGGGAGTGGAGAACTAAATCACTCTGTAAGACTATAATATTTGCTGTCATTATTTTATCTTTGAAAGACTGACAGTTAAGTCATTCTCATTTTGGAGATGAGATTCAGAAACAGAAATAATCCTTGTGGATTATTCATCCAATAACATCTCACTGATGAACTGAGTATTGACATTTCAATGATGCATCAATCGGTGCAGAAAGATTTTCTATTTCATTATCTACAAGGCAGGTAATCTTGGAAAAAATATGTAGGGAAAAGTAAATTTTAAATGAATTGAACACATTTGCATTAAATCATGCTTTAAAATTATAAAATGTGATGTATTTTCCTGCTCAGAAAGGGAGATACTTTCAACTTTTATTAATACTCCCTTCATAGGCTTGCATTTATCAATTCTTAATACGCCTTTCTGCGTGTCTTTACTTTTGAAACCTGAAAAAGGGACATTTAAAGATATGAATATCCTTTGCTAATACAAGGCTAGGCAAACTTGGGCAGGGGGATTGGAAATATTGCTTTGACCTCTGTTGAACCTTTGGGAGTTTGGACATGCAGGTGGTTTGGAAGATGGGACAATTAAATGGTCCATCTGTTCTGTCATTCAATATTTGGGCAAGAAGATACAGTCAAAATATATTATTGACTCCTTACCCAATGATCCTCAGTACGAAGGCTACCTTTTTTTTCTACTAACAGGATAATGAGTGACCCATTCTCCACTGCCTACTGATACATTCTTGAATGAATGCAAATGGCACTTTTCCTATTTTTTAAACAACAGATAGCTTCTGAAACACAGTAGCGTGTATTGGCATGATGGTACTCATAGCCACTGCTGTTGCACCTGAAAAAGGACATGCTGAAGTATGAATTATTTGGTAGGGAAGGAAGGTTGAGGACAAAGTAAAACATTCCAACTCTACAATTCCAGGGAATAATTCTGGGACCCAGGAGAGGGGGGGGAAGGAGGGAGGGAGGAAGGAAAGAGGGAAGGGAGGGAGGGAGAAGTTTTGGGATAGTGACAATGCCACCAGAAATGGCTCGAAGTTACCTAATATAAGGGAAAAAGAAAGAACAGGATTGGTCTGAAAAAAAAGAAAATGCAAAAAAGAAATATCTCTTCTTGGACATGACTGTGCCTTTATTTGGAGGCGTGATTTGGCAGACAGCAACATTAATAACTAGGCAGAGTGAGTTTCACATTTTAACACTGTGGGGGTGAGAAATAGTTTGAAAGGAACTCTGAGATAGCTGTAGATAAAAATAGATTTCTTATTAGGGGACTTAGACCACCATATATTTGGACTGTCAGGCTAATCATTAGCTTTGCTAATTTGCATTTCTGTGAATTCCAAATATGTCAAAAAGATCAGAGATACCTACAGTAAATTTTGAAATTAATCTGCACATTTACTGTACCTCCAGTTACGTATTCTGGCAGAATACATCACTTGGAAATTTGAACAAAATGCTAAGTATTGGGAGGGGGGCAGTACAGACCAAATTCCAACATTATGTTTCAGTGTAGGCATCATGTATTCCTGTCACCTTCCACTTGTGACATCTGCACATTATATCCTGGATAGTTAAATGCTCATTAGAAACTTTCCAATCTAGTTATCTGAATTCCTTTTCAAGTAGTGGTATAATGTCTTCCTCCAGTCTTAAGAGATTGGATGAGAAATAATATATTGAAACAAAATCTGGATGTCAGATATACTTATTGTAGGAAGTCACAATTGCAGGAATGTTGTCACATTCTCCCAGAAGGACTGGGTATATAGTTAGGGACAGTTCTGAATCCAAATGGTTATCTTGCTTTCCAATTTGAAGCAACAACTCTGAATTCCTTCAGTTGGTATGGCAACTCTGCCATTTCCTGTAATATTTGTTGTTGTTGTTAATTGTGAAGTCGTGTCCGACCTATCGCGACCCCATGGACAACATTCCTCCAGGTCTTCCTGTCCTCTACCATCTTCTGGAGTCCATTTAAGTTCACGCCTACTGCTTCAGTGACTCCATCCAGCCACCTCATTCTCTGTCGTCCCCTTCTTCTATTGCCCTCAGTCTTTCCCAGCATTAGGCCCTTCTCCAGTGAGTCCTTCCTTCTCATTAGGTGGCCAAAGTATTTTGAGTTTCAACTTCAGGATCTGGCCTTCTAAAGAGCAGTTGGGGTTTGCTGTACCACATTCTATTGGCAGAGGATGAGATAGGGGTTGCTGATAGAGGTCTAGCTAAGCAATTTGTTTCAGGAACCAGAGAGACCATATTAGACTGAGTTTGACATTGTTTGTTGCCAGTTTATTTTTAAGGGAAATGTACATGTGCTGGCTATTTCCATTACACTTTTTTTTTAGTTTGGGTTCTGGTTATTTGAGATAACACATTTTTCTATATGATGGCCTCTTCCTTCCATCCTTTCTTCCTGCTCCTTAGTATGATCATTTAAGAAAGCTGGCTTACAGATGTCTTGGGATGGTATTATGGTTACCTGGATGAGGCCATTAATGCAATTGGCATCTCTGTTGTAATTTGAACTGCATTTGGTGATACCATTAACAAGCTTTGAAACCACACTTTTAAAACGGACGTTTTTCTTTGTGTTAATGGTTTTTAATATTTTCTTTTCAGATTTCTGCTTTTAATTTTGGTTTCAGTATTTTTATTGTAAATCACTGAGATAACTTTGAAGTTACTGTAATTATGGGCATATAATGTGTTTACTAAAACAATAATGTACCTTGCAGGCAGCTTACTAAAATGACATAAAATATAATATTTGTGGGATGTTATACCAGCTTAGTCAGATTTTTATAACCACTTTGTAGAAGTTTCTGACTACATTTCTGATTATTTATTTATTTATATTTCATGTTTCTAGACTGCCCATCACCTTCAAGGAGGGGTTTTAATTGTCCTCTGATCTCTCTTAGCCACATGGATGGGAAATTATGGGATATCATTCTAACATAAACTTTTAATGGTGTATAAATGCATTCTAACATACAGTATATAGTTATTTATTTATTTATCAAATTTATACAGCCATTCATCTCACCCAAGGAGACTATGGGTAGTACACAATAGATAAAACAGCTCAGATAATGGCATTATAACCAGGTCTTTTCAAAGAAACCTTAAGGGATGGGGCCAATCTAATTTCAGGAGGAAGGAGGTTCCATAATGCAGGCATCACAGCAAAGAAGGTATGTCTTCTGGGACTCATCAGATGTAGGTTCCTAGCCAGTGGTGGCATTCAAATATGTGAACAACCGGTTTTCTGTGTGGGTGCTGCTTCCGGAAGTCCATTCTGGGCCTGGGCAACAAAAAATTAGCTACCGGTTCTGCCAAACTGGTGCAAACCGGCTGAATCCCACCACTGTTCTTAGCCAATGGAATCCTTGGCAAGCTCTAATGGGATGGACTGATATAACCAGGGAGAGATGGTCCCTCAGTCAGGTCCCATGCCATGAAAGACTTTAAAGGTTAAAACTAGCACTTGAATTGGACTCAGAAACAAACTGGCAACCAATGTAGCTTGTGGAGCAGAAGTATAACTTGATGCTCTAGGAGCACACATAATTGTCTGCATCACTGCATTCTGTAGCAGCTGAAGCTTCCAAATACTCTTCAAGGGCAGACCCATGTAGAGAGCATTGCAGTAATCCAATCTGGAGGTGACTAGGACTCAAACAATGTTTGATTATTTACTGAAATCAATCAATGAAATCAAGTTTCATTCATGCAGGCTTTTTCAAACTGTGTTCTTTAGAGCAGCGGTTCTCAACCTATGGGTTGCGACCCCATTTGGGGTCGATCGACCATTTCACGGGGGTCGCCAAGCAAGGCTGTCTGCCATTTTTTTGTCCGCCATTTTTCCCCCTTTTCTGGCGGGTGCCTTACCTCCCTTGGGCTGGGCCAGCTGGTGGTCGGCCTGCTCTGTCTCTGCCACTTGCCAGCTACGCCTCGGCTGGCGCAGGGGGTGGAACCACGCATGCACGGCGCTCCCGGGCAGGGAAAGTCCTCGACTTACGACCGGTTGGGTAGTCCTCGACTTACGACCGGTTTAGTCCTCGACTTACGACTGGTTGGGGGTCGCGGCATTAAAAAGGTTGAGAACCACTGCTTTAGAGTCTTAGAGTTCCACATGAATTTGATGGGATCTGGGAGACGCTAAGGATAAAAGAAAAATGCACTCAAATGCATCAATTTCTGTCACTAGAGTTTTTCATGTTGATCATGTATTCTAAGATTTTTTAAAATTGGTTCCACAAACTGAAAAAGTTTCAAAATTCTTCTGCAAATGTAGTTGACATTTGACCCCTTTCTTTACGGAAATTACATGTATGGTTATATTGATTTGGACATCAGCACATGTTCAGAATTCATTTTAGAAATAATGTTGTAAGATGATCTGGGTTTCCTGTTCAAATGCTGTTAGGCAGCTCCTCTTTGCCACTTCTCTTTGCTTTTTTGCTTTCTCTGTCCTACTTTCATGTTCTTTTTTGAGTGTTACTCTCAGTTTTAAAAGATACAGTCAAGTCACAGTATTTTGTGATTTAAGAATTTCTTGAATTCTTGAATTCAAGAATTTCTTGAATTCTTGAATTCAAGAATTTCTTGAATTCTTAGCTGACTTTGGAATACGCTCCCCAGAGAGGTAAACTTGGCACCAACCTATTCTCTTTTTAGTAACAGGAAAGGTCATTTTTATTCTCCCAGAGTTTTGCTGCTGTGATTTTTTTAACTTTCCACTGTTATTATCTCTTTATTGCCTTTTAGTCCTCATTTTTATGCATCTTTTATATAATTGCAATGTACATTTTACCTGATGTAAATTAATGCTTTAATTGTTGATTTTTATTGTAAGCCTTTTTAAAAAAATAAAAATAAATGGTTATTCCTTATTTTAATAAAGTAATTAACTGAATTTGGAGAAGCTGATTAATGAAGCAAAATGTTCCATCTCCAATATGATAGATTACTCAGTAAATCTGAAAACTATCTGAGATTTCTTTCCTAAAAATGGTGTGGATGAATGATTAAAATGCACACTAAATTTTACCAGGTGTGTGTGTGCATGCGTGTATATGTGTGTGTGTGTGTGTGTGTGTGTGTAGTACATCTACATCAGGCTATTCAGTGAGGGGACAATTTCCAGATATTTTTGATGCCCTTATTATACCATATTATTATACAAATTAGAACTTTATCACAATTGTACATGTACAGTATGTACATATACATGTTTGTGTGCATGTATATATGCACATTAATTATGAATGCTGACTCACTACTCAATACTGCATGGAACTGCATGTAATTCTTGAGCTAAAAAGGTTGCTTTCCATTAGATTAGAAGGTGAAAAGTGAAATAAAACTACATTTCTCTATGTATTGATGACATTTCAGCCCAAACCTCCAGGTCACATCTTACAATACTTTTATGTGAATCATAAAAACCATGGAAGAGGTGACATCAAAATAATTAATGCCCAAGAATTCAAATAAGACATTTGAAGCATTTCTAAGTAATTTTGGCAGGAAGCATTGACAGCCAGAAGGCTCTCTCTATTGACTGGCACTGGAAACCAGTTTGAGATCCAGCAAAATCAAGCATATAGAGCTTATATATTACTTATGTAAATCATCCATAGGCAATGAAGACAAAGTGGACTGGATCTAAATAATAATCAAGCATAACACTCTAAGTTATTGGCTTAATCACGGGTTGCTAATTGGCTGAGTTCAGACTTCAACTACTTAAACAAACCATTATTTACAAACCAAAATGGAGAGATTCACACACAACACACAAAATGACAGTATACTTTGTTTTTGGCTAGGTCTGTGAGTGAACCTAGCAATTCAATATATGGTGCCTAAAACCAATATTGTTCTAAGTTTTTGTTGAGAAATGGCTAGCTAATTGATTTCATAGCTCCTCTTGTATTTTGTTTTCTTTACCCTCTCAGGCTTCTGTCTGACCTGAAGGAAATTAAGATCCTTGCCTAACTCATCCGTCAGATTCCCCCACCCCCATCGCCGCCCACTTCCACCGGTACCCGCTGGTGGACTGACGTATCACAGTGCAATAAGCTTTGTCAACAGGTGACTAACAATCCATATAAAGACTGGTCCGCGAAGCTGAGCTTCATTTCAGAACCATGGAGAGCTCTCGCTACTTCGCCCTGCTAGGAGCCGCTTTATTGTTGCTTGCGGGAGTCCACAGTCAGGAAGAAGGCGAACTTCAACCTCGAGCTTTGGATCTCTATTCCACCGTGGAGGAAACGTCCCACGAAAAGGAGCTGGTATGTTTCCCAGCGAGAAAGCGTCTGAATGGGCGGGTGGGGTTATAAGTGCTCTCGGGAGCGTCCTTTACTATTTTCCGATGTTACTAAACTGCCTAGCCATTGAGTCCTCATGTTTTGCTTCAGATCTCATGAGATGCAGCTTTTGGAAAACTTAAAGGCATTCTTAGGAAGGTGATATGCTGAATAGGAAGGAAAAGTTGGAGTCAAACAGAAGCTTGAAAAGTAACTTAAATGAGAGAATCAGGTCTACAACTTCTTAGTGCCCACCGTTCCCAATTGCCTGTGAGAGGCTGGTCTAGCTTTCTCTTAGGTTGTCAAGTGCTTTGCCTCCCACTCTGTATTCAGCCTCCTCAGCCTGCTTGATCTATTACTAATAGGATGGTTTGTGTTTCTGCAGATTGAAGCACTGCAGGAAGTCCTGGAGAAGCTGAAAAGCAAACGGCTCCCACATTATGAGAAGAAGTATGGTCAAGTTCCCATGGTGAGTGTTTTCTGATTCCAAGTTAGAAAAATTATTTTTAAAACAGCACATTCCCCAGAGCAGAATTAGGTTCGTAGGGAGTTGACTCTGATTGAGAAAAGAACTTTTCTCTAGAAAACCGCCAATAAAAATGAAACTTTTTCACCCCATTGTCTTTATTAATTCCCAAATTATCAACATAAGGCTTGCATGTTCTGCCTTCCCTCATATCAAACCTTTGGTGTCCTGCTTGAAAAAACTGAAATAACACTTTACAAATGCTCTATTCCCTTCTTTCCGTTTCTAATATTCTAAAGCTGCAAATATTTATTCTGTTTTTTTGGGATTAAATCCCATGCACTGGATTATATTGTAAATATGTCTACTTGAAGGAATGTCAGTGCAGCTTAATCAGTCCCAAACATGATGATATTTATGCTTTACATTTATTTGAGAGGAAGTTTGTTTAAATGAAATAACACCTATTTCTAGTAGACACACTTAGATTTCTGCACTTAGATTATTAGTATTCTTTGCATATATTTTAGGCTATTACTTACCGTAAATTGAAATGCTTCTGAGACTAAAGTTGAAAAGAATCTGAATGAAATACTTGTCATTCATTTACAGAAGGAATTAGATTCCTTTTCACCAACTATTTTTTTTCTAATTAAATATTAGAATAAGGTTGAAAAGGAAAATAAACCTTATTATCCATGATGGTTCACATTAGTGGAGTTGAGGGTTTTGGTGTCTCCTATTTTGAATTTTTGGCAAAGAAATTATATCTAGGTTAAAAAGATAATTGATGACATCCAACCATGGTTATAATATTTTTTTTTAAAAAAATCAATATTTCTAGACATATTGTTTCTGGACTTTTTTGTGAAGTCTAGAGAACAGATATTTTAAGCGATTTTTATAAAAATTTCAGTGCTGATACAGAAAGTCAAATGAAATCCTTTCTCTAATTAATTCATCTGAACTGTTACAATACAGAAATAGTTGAATAATAACTTTAGTCCTTAAAATCAGGTGTGGAAATGCAAACCTCACATGTAGACTTTGTATTTTTGCAGAAAATTTTCATTTACGATATTTTTTTCCTCTGGTCCAATGCGGTTTCTCTCTTGATCTAATTATTGGTTGCTGTCAATAACAGTGTGATGCAGGAGAGCAGTGTGCAGTGAGAAAAGGTGCCAGGATTGGAAAACTCTGTGACTGTCCCAGAGGAACATCTTGCAATACTTTTCTCTTGAAGTGCTTGTAAAGTCCAGTCCCTCCCTCAACCTCTGGAGAGAACAGAAAAGCATCAGTTGCCTTGTCTGAAGAATTAATCTTGCGTTATGGATGCAGGTGTGTGGGGTGGAGAATGCTCTGTATTCATCACATACTAAGAAGTGGGTGATGGGAGGGAAACAGCTGTAAGGGTGATGTGAACTATTGCTTTTAGGATTTCTTCTAGCCATTTCTTTTTACTGTTAGTTTCCTTCTTTGTTCCTGTCCTACTTTTCCCCATATGTGTACATCAGTGTTCAAGGAATGAATGATATTTTCAAAAACTTTATTTTTGAATGTAAATGCTATCCATGAAAACTGTCTCTAGAAAATTCATTTATTTATTTTCCCTCAAATACAAATACAAGAATATGAATACAATACGAAATTAGAGAACAAATAGAACAGTTAATCAAATTAACAGTATGTTGGAATGATTCAAAGATTCAAACATTTTAAAAATATACACAAATATCCCTTTCACAACAGATATGGGCGGATATATCAATTGTAGGTAAACAGTAGCACTATTTCAAAAACACTCTACTAAACAATTCTTTCATCTCAGTTTGGTAGTAACTTTAACCCAATACCTCCAGCTTTCTCAGGCAATCATATTTTTGAAATAAATAGCAGAGGAAGTGACTTAGATCTTGTCTCCTGGGGTCTTTTGAGACTAAGACAGAAAGAAAAGCTAGGAATATTTTCCCTTGACAAAATATGTAATGGAATTCCTAATGTTTCTTTCAGAAAGAGGAGCATAATATGCAATTAATAATTGTAATTCAAATATATGTCAAATAATGACACCCTGACCAAGTCATCAGCACATGTCTGCTTCCTGATGACTAAGTAGAAAGGTATGAGACAAGTCTTTATTGATATTATACTTGTCTGATTAGTATATGTATTGAAGGATATTGCAAATACCTACTTCAAATTCAAATTTACGAATGTTCGTCATCAGTTTTGTCTATTAATAGACCTTGAACATTGCCATATAGCATTGTTTGAGGACCAGTGCACATATCAGTGCTTCCAAGCAGCATTATTGTTATATTAATTTGTATGTTGAGTCTTTGTCAGGATTGAGAAGAATTTGGCTTAGCATCAGAAACTCCAAAAACACAAGAAATGAAAGCATTAAGAAATCTTTGAGGAGGCCAAGAACTGCCATTTTCTAAAGTTATAAAAAATGAAGAAATAAAAAACACTTTCAATTTTGAGATATTACTTCCATAATCTGATATTGAAGAAAAATATAAACCTATACCATGTATATGTTTTTTCTTTTGAGACAATAACCATTTATTTATGTATACAATTCAACTCTGTTATAAAGGTTTTAAGAAACCTGAAGCAGATTTACATCAGTACATTTTTACAATATGCATATATCAAACAATGTGAATGGATATTTATAAAGGAAAGATTCTAAATCTGTTAGTTCTATAACAATGTATCGGTCAAACTTGCAAATATTTTTCAGTAATGTCCTATTGTCTTTTACTAAACTATTTGATCATTAATAAAATCATTGTTACAAGGTCCATTTCAATGTAGTATTTTCTTTTTCTTTTTTTGACTATCTCCAGATCTTTTGGGATAAATATGTTTAAGCTTCTTAATTGAAGTGATTCTTTTTTATCAGCACTAATGTATGCATGAATGGACATGTGAATTGCGATGTTAAAACTGGGACAAGGCATTCATCTGACTGGGTAGAAGACAGGGTATAAATAAAAGAATAAATACTTGTGGCAGTTGGGCAAGTTAGATATTTAGAGTGTTTCTGATACATTACTTTGGATGTACTTTGTCAAAAATAAATAAATATTACCATAGAACCACAAAGTTGGTATGAGCCATTTTGGCAATCGAATCCAATCTCATATTTTATGCAGAAATTATTAAAGCATCTATAATGAATGGTTGACTAACCTCTTTTTAACATATTGATTAAAAAAGAACCCACTATCCTTTCAGTCTCCCAAAACAATATTCTTTTTTTTAAAAAGGGGAGCATGGGGACAAGAAAGATGGATATTAGCTCCAAAATATCGGTAGCTATGTGGTCCTTGAGATAGATGATTCTCTTTGAATTAAAGGCATCCTTGTGGGACTTGTGGGATTGAAGGGGTGCAGGCCTATATGTTGTATGAAATTCCAAGAATTCCAGAAGCATGTAGTCAACTTTAGACAATTTGCAGTACTGAAGGTTGAGTATGGAAATAATGTGAACCAATTGTGAATGTGTGAATTAGATTTGATTTTAGCGCAAAGGGCAGACTTTTACAAGCTATTTTGCCTTGGCATCAAATCATAATATCTTTTCAAATCACAGTTATATTGTATTCCATTATATTAGTCAAAATATGTTCTAATTTTATACTCATTATCACTGGGAGAACTTGACAGGTTCACTTCCAAGAAGCCTAATATCCATTTTAAAAAGAGTTTTGGGGTTGGATATAAACATGAATTTAAAGAGTGATAGACAGGTATTTTTAGATATTGTTTTATACTGATTTGGGTCAGTAAGTGCTTAGTATTCATTTTTAAAAACCATTAAAATGATACTTTTTTAATGAACTCACCTATTAATTGGGATTAGAATGGTATCTCCTTTGCTGTAATAAGGAAGTTTCAGTTACCGGGTAAGTGTCTGAGCAGTGGCGTAGCGTGGGTTGTCAGCACCCGGGGCAAGTAATTTGCGCCCCCCTCCACAGTGGGTGGCGTCGGCGACCTGGCGGCTCGGATCGGATTGGCACAGCCAGCACTGCAGAGAGAGTGAGTGAGCCAGGCAGGGGCAGAGAGCTGCGAGTGCGAGCGCGCCCCCCCAGATGTTGCGCCTGGTGCGGCCGGCCCCCCTGCACCCCCCACGCTACGCCTCTGTGTCTGAGCACGGAGATGGTTCTCATTATCTATACAAGCACAGGACAAATAATAGAAGTATAATCCCAATGCTCATGAATCATAAAGATTAAGCAGCTTTTGAACTAATTCTAATATTTCAAAATTCTTACAAATGGGAGCTTATGGATTATCTCTAATGTTAAATGAATATATTTATGCAAGATAATTTTATTTTTTTTCCTCTTTCTCTCATACCCTATTCTTCATGAATCTCAAATCTGCCTCTGAGAATTCCATAACTTTCCCAATCAGATGTTATACAGTAATGAATCTTTTTGGATGTTAGAATACCATTCATTCCCAAACATTATTGGAACTAATTTACTGCTTAAAGAAAATTAACTGGCAGACCTGAGGCCACCTTGTCTAAGAAGCCACACATGAGTTTCTTTTGCATACATGACATGTTTTCTGAGTTTACATTACACTGAGTTCCTGATCTGTAGTATAACTGAACAATTGTACTTAATAAAGAAAAAAGTACTAGTTTGCCCTTTACATTGTGCTTATTCTCTCTTATGCAAAAATACTAAATGATAAAATTATGAACAACAAATAGGCAACTAATGTTTTATTTATCTTCATGTATAAAGTTACACAAAGATAGACAAATCAAGCCATTAATTTCAATGTGAACCAAAGGTGAATTAGTACGCGTTAAACCAAATCAAAGTCTGTGTTGCAAGGAATGCATTTACTGAAAAGTGACACAAACAATCAATTCTTGTCTGAAGCACCTCGGCTTACATCCATTTTCTTTGTGGTTTTCATTTACAGTAAGTTGGCCATCATATACATGAAGCCATGTACTTTCTTGAATAAATCTGATGTTCTCAATAATATATCTTAGGATATGAGTTAGGAAGAGGTGCTTTTCATTTATAATTGACCAATTAGCTAATTAAACATTACCAGAAGATGAATTAAATTTATGAATTAGGTTGCAAATTAGAAAGCTGGAATAAAATTTATATGGAAGAAATATATATCTATATGAAATAGTCATCTGAAAAGTATTTGAATGTGAGCATTTCCACCCCACTCTCTAGTTTCTTGACAGGATTGATTTAGCTCCTCTGCAGTTTATATTCTTTCTTTTTCAGGAAAAAGACTGTGCTGTCACCCAATAAAATGACTTAGACTGTGATGAGACATAATTGGATGACTTAAGCCTTTTATTATTAATTCAATCTAGGATGTGCAAGCGTCTTGAGTCAGCAGTCTAACAGATAATAACATTCTCTACCAGCAGGTGTGATAATAGTATCTTGCATTTATGTTTATTTAGGTGCTGAAAGGATAAGCATTCTTTCAATAAAATGTCTATGAAAAGTGAACTGGGGTAGCTTAAAGTATCATTGTATTTTCAAAAATATCCAGGAATATACAATTCTGAAGACAAATGAAGAATATCATTTATTTGCTTTGTCAGAATTAACTAGACAAATATTGTTGGATCCACAATTTACCGGTAGTAGGAAACATAGGATTCATTAACACTTATTTCATAAGATGTGGACAACAATATCTATGTATTAAATGATGAATCTTTTAAGGCAATGTCTGAAATATTGTGCTCAAGTTCAGTTTTCAAAAAGTAGAATCAAGAATAAAACAGGTTAGATCAAAGCTCTGCTTGCCAATGCAATAAACTTAATACAGTACATATGCTAATTGATGCAGTACTTTCCTCCCTCACATCTAAGACATCAAAACAGGCATCTTGAGATAGATCAGATAGTTCAGCAAACTGTTTGTCACCACTATAAGAAGCTGAGAAACTGGATATGAAGGCCGTAACAATCTTCCACTGTTGTAGCCCACCAACTTTTATCAGATGTGTACTGCTTTTGATTTTGAAAGTAGTCTATCACCAACATGATTAGTAACCTTTGAGGTTTATTCCCATGTGTGCATATATGATTTTAAAAAGTAACTTAAATTGGTAAGCCATTATACAGTGTGGCAGCCAAACACAGTTAACTATGTGCTATATGGATAAGCATTTATTCTTGTCCATCCAGTATCTAGGATTATGAAAGTAGACAAATCTATCCAGTGCTTAATTTTCTCTAC